ATTATGTGTGGCTTAGAAACTGATGACAGCGATGATTGCGATAGCGATGACACTAGCCCACAACAATCACCATCGAATAGGCCTAGACTCTAGAGCAATGTTTATGAACATATAAACTTTGTTCTTCTTTAAACTAAGTTTGTCCTTAATTTTTGTTAATTTTCATAAAATCAATACTCTTCGGGCAGGAACACTCAGGTCTATAGCCCTTTTGGATTTATCTTATATTTGTTCCAAATAAATATTGTTCTCTCTCTAATATAGTACTACTATATTACTATATACTTATATTAGAATACTCTTTTATAGTTACAATTCGTAGAGCTCTCGAGTAAAGACGTTATTTTGCAAAGAGAATTTTTTTTTATTTTCGAGATTTAACAATTTTTGTAAGATTTCAGTCGATAAAATTAGTCCAACTTAATTTTTTACATGGATATGGTAATGAAAATTATTCATTTAAGCCTTAGTCTTTGCTGAAGAATGAAATAAAAAATCATCAATGATTCTTGAGTTATAACTGAAAAATTAAGCAAACAAACATCAAGATAAGGAAAGAAATATAAAAGGTCATAAAAAAAAAGTTTGGCCTGAGAACGTCAAACCCTTTGGAGGTTTTACTATATAGACCTAGTACTTTCACCCTGACTTAAAATTTTTCACCCCCCAGAATGGCTGTTGCATTGTGTTACCACTTAACTAAGAGACATAGAATTTTTTTCTTATTTTTACCAGAACAGGTATGAGTTGGTCTCTCACCCGGTGCCCGCTTGACGTTGAGTTTCGGGACAGTGTATGTACAGGGTGTATCTGAATGACTGCAACAAACTTCAAGGGATGATTCTTTAGTGAATTTTAAGGGTACTTTCATATATGAACCATGGGCGACTTCGCCCCCGCTGGGGAGCTACGCCCCTCCAAAAAAAGCGGAAAATTTTGGTTTAATTTTTTTTTCTCAAAAACCATAAACGCTGGGAAAATGAAATTTGGGGAATATATTTAACTTATAATAGGGCACGTTTTGACCCTATTTGTACTTTCATCCTACTCTTCTAATTTACGAATATGAGAGAAACTACAATAAAGAAGTATAGGAATGTTTATAGATAAATTGTAGAGAATTAAGAGAATTAATTATTTTTCCCTTTCGTGTAGGCTAATAAAATATGGGCTAATAAATTAACTGGTCATATTATCGACTTGAATAACACCAAAGTTTTACATAATTTCGAGAAAGGGTTTAAACTGGATCTTTTAGAAAAATATGAAATCGATAATCATAGGAGAAATAAAAAAATAAATCTTCTCAACGATCAAGTTGACACTTTTTACAACCCATTATACTCCTTCTTATCAAAAAGCAAGAAAAGAAAAACTAAACAAATAAAATAATAATTTTCCGATTTTACCATCGTTATATTCATCTGATTTTAATATGTAACCGGTTTATTCGGGTAGTGTACTTACTTTCATTGTAAATTTTCCATTATTGTATGCTGTGTTCGGCTTGTCGTACGTTTCATTTTAATTTGTAACATATTTATTTAATTTTAACATTTTACCATAGTTTATTTATTTAAATTTTCAAATGTGTTATTTTTATAAAACTCAACGTTAACCTTTCTTCATTTATGACGTAAGTTATATAATTTTTATAACGAAATTAGATTTTGATATGATTTTTCTTTTTTATTTTCCGCTTGCAAAGATTTTGGTTGATGATGACCTTTATGTGTCGAAACCGGTTCCAATAAATATTTAAAATATAAGCATGTAAGAAATATATACATTTTCCCATATATAATATAAACTTGCAACATGGATTCATATAATCAAACCTTGATATAAGTTGAAGAGTGCTACCTTTTAGTGGTATTGTCATGTTTGTACCACTTCCGGTTACACCGGAAATTGTTACTACATAACTATTTAAAAAGAACTGTAAAATTTTATTTGGCAGTTGGGTACATAATGTCTAAATAACTTTTATTTGAAAAATTATTTTACATCATTTATAATTTCCCAGAAAAAAAATAAACGAATTCAAAAACGCATTGATATAAGGTGAAGAGATAACATTAAGCAGCAGCTCGATCTACACCCAGACAATGTTCTATAACAGCTTTAAGGCTGTCCCAGACAATTTGCTGATTTGGCAAAAGAGCTTCCTCAAACTGGATATCTTTTATTAATCTGCGAATATCCGGCCCATTCAATATTCCTAAAAATAAATATTTTATGAGATTCCTAAAAATCAAGATATTATTTTATATTATAAATACTATCTTGATTTTAACAAACCTTCTTTTATTTTAGCTTGGCTTAATTTTGTGAAAATATCTCCAAGACGTTTAAAAGCAATGCTCTTTCTACCTAGTGATTTCAGAAAATTTTTCACTAAACCCAATTTTATGTGCAAATGTGGTAGTAAAACGTTATCTTGTGATACAAGTGGTGTGTTTATTACATTTGCACGACGTATAATATACTCTTCATGTGACATCTAATTATTTTTCGCATATTGATTTCCGTGATATCATAGACATAAACAGCACATGTTCTTTGTATATCCTAATTGTAATCCAGTCAACAATCAGATAATCTTTAGATCAGCATAAATTCTCCATTGATGTTCTTCGTATTTCAAAATACCAAAAATAAATTTCATTTTTTCTTACGTTTCACGTGTTTCATGTGCACCAACCGCGACGGCGGTGTACTCCGATGAATTCCCTTCATTTGAACTTGGATGTATTGGAGGTGGATTGACATCACTATGTAGTAGTGGAGTTTGTATTGATGGTACCGTTTTATATTTCAAAAGTAAACGTGACCTATTGTTTGCACATACATAACAATTGTCAATGGAATGTGTTCCTGAATTTGTCCAGATCAATGGAGTACCATATGGCATACATTTGCATTTACTAATAAACCACGCATGGTGCCCATAAGATATTTTGTACGACTGGCATATTAAAATGTTGCAGGTACAAATTGGCAATATGCAATGTAATTTTCCTTTTTCTTGAACTTATACTTGAACGTATATGTACCACAAGCGTAGCAAAACAAACTGATTTTTTTCGAACAAATACTCAAAGACACAACTCAAAATTAGAACTTCAACAACTCTTTATTACGAAATTGAATTGCAAAAATGAATTTTAGCTCCACCTGTTAGGGCAGTCGGATAAAGTATAAAACTGGTATCGCGGGGTATAAGCGGTCTTAAAAACCGGTTTTCAAAACTGTTATCAAAATTTTTTTAAAACCAGTTTTAAAAACTGTTGTCAACATTTTAATATACGTTTAAAAATATTTTTTATGTCAATATTATTAATGTTGTTTTATTCCGCTATACCCGTTTTACCTCAATTGACCTTAACAAAAAGATCTGCTTTAGAAGCATGTAATTCCAAAGTGTTTTTCAATTCGTTTATTTTTTTTTCTGGGAAATTATATATGAAGTAAAAAAAAATTTCAAATAAAAGTTATTTAGAATTACATTATATGTATAACCAACTGCTAAAAAAATTTTAAATTTTCATAAAAATAGTGATGTCAGTAACAATTTCCGGCGTTGCCGAAAGTGGTACAAATATGACACTACCACTAAAAGGTAGATCTCTTCACCTTATATCAAGGTGCCAAATATCAAATTTATTGCATCTACAGTTGTCCTATAAAATCATTTGTCTAGCAGCAGTGAAACACTTAAATAAAAAAAACGTGACATGTTACAGAAAAATGGAAGGCATATTTGAAATCAGCAACCCAAAATTAACTATAAACATTCAAGTCATCAACTGTAGAAATATCTTGCAGCACAGTGTTATTATTCAGCGTTAAATTGTTGTATATTTTTATTGAACTAAAAGTGCAACTAATCTTAGAACTAGAAACGTTCGGGTTTAGCCGTCTTAAAAACACATGGCTAAACTCGATCAAGATCTTTATTTTATATTGTGAACCTTAAGTCTGAAGCTAACAACATTACAAAACGCGTATAGAATAAATTAGGCATTTTCTAATTCAAAGTGAAATGGTAATTGCTTACCTATACGTGACGTCACTTGGTATGAATATAAAGTTATTTAGACTGAACGCAACGGAATGGATAGCTATCCGAATTTGTGTGCATTAAAATTATTTATTCAAACAGTACCATATGGTACTATGTATTAGTCCGTTATATCGAGGTTTTACTGTACTTTATTTTCAATCTCTACAGAGTGTCTCAGCGAGACCGTTCATTAGACGTTTATGGGGTTTTGGCCAAATGAAAATTTGAAAGTTCAGGTTTAAGTATAATCAATTGCGTTCTCTTCGACTAAAACATTATCAGATTTTTAGCACTTCCGGTTTTACCGGAAGTCGCCACCTACTTTATTTTTTTAAATGGAACACCCTATATATTTTTACATATTTGGATTTGTCTATTTCTAAGGTTTATGAATAACTTTACCTTTTCCAATTTGATTCGGCCGTTCTCGAGTTATTCTATTTTTCTAAAAAAATCTGCTCTAGAAAACACTCGATTTTTGGGATATCAATTTAGGATTCAAAACATGATTAAGCAACATGATGAAGTATGTTTTGGTGCCTAGAACGGCTGTCTAGATCCTTTGATCACTTTACTTTTAAAATTAACTTTTCGAAATTTGGAAGTACCATAACTTCATTTTTTTAAATGGTACCCACCATATTTTATTACTTAGTTGTCTTCGGCGTCTCAACTTTTATATCCCATATTCATAAACCTTGAAAACAGACAAATGCAAATATGTAAAAATATACAGGTGTTCCATTTAAAAAAATAAAGTAGGTGGTGACTTCCGGTATAAGCGGAAATGCTAGAAATCTGATTTTAGTCGAAGAGAACGCAATTGGTAATACTTAAATTAGAATTCTCAAATTTTTTTTGGCCAGAGCCCCAGAAACGTCTAATAAACGGTCTCGCTGAGACACTTGTATATTAATTTTTAAATATCTTGTAGAAGCAGGAGAATCCAGAGATCAATATATAGAAGTTCATGATACACAAGAACAGTTATCAGGTAAATTCAAAAATATGTTTATTTAGTTTACCATTATTACAATTCTTTATTTTCAGAAGCAGTATTCAGTCCTTTATTGGTAGAAATACGTTCAGAGTGCATAGGTAAAATTTTACTTTTTATTTGGGCCTTTATCTTCATAATTTTATTAATTTTTTGTTCTCTACATACTGTTTTTATTATCACTGACATAAATATTGTGGTTTATTTTTTTGTTAGATCAAAGAACTAAATTTATTTAATTAATTAAGATTATTTTATTAATTAAGAATGAATTTAATTTTCTTATTGTAATTATAAATGCATATATTTTATAGACCGCCCAATATTTGGTGAAGTGGATACACAAGCGACCCAGGTTTTGCCAGTTCCATCCACTTCTAGGTCTACATCAGGTATTGTAATATTTCCTATTAGGTATTACTGTTGATTACTGTAGTAAATTTGGAAGTGGACCACAAAATCGGTATTTTAAATTGAATAGTGTGGTTTTAATTATAAATTCTTTAGGCAAAATTACGTTGACTTTGATAAAAATTGTTGATTACAGTTTTTCGTTTTCCAGTTATTTTAATATTCAATTTCTTTCAGCAGTTATCAATATGTTTGTTTTAAACCGTATTTCTTAGCCACTGTACAAGTAACAATGTTGGAAATTTGTGTAATTATGCTTTAAATGTTCACACGCAATTAGGTGTAGATATGATAATAATTACCGAGTTTGGGCCACAGCGACCTCAGTTTAATTAGTTAAATCGAGGCGTTACAATATCAGCACTGTCAGGAATGTATAATATTAATCACTGAACCTAGGCTGCAAGCGACATCAGCTTAATTAGTTAAAAGAGTTACAACGTCATTTGATAAACCGAAGCCTCTTGCGGCCAAGAACAACAGTGTAGTGCATTTTTCTCCTCATCTGACATATCAAATGTCAGATGAGTTTTATCCATATTCGCTATTTGGCTTAGTTCCACACTAGTTTTCTTTCGATATTTAATGATAAAGTGATGGAAAGATAATATTTTCTCTTCGTGTACTTGCGGCATTTTCTGAAATATTTTGGTTTTGGTTTGCATGCTAAGTCCATGATGTTTCATAAACCTGAAACAATGTTAGCAAGCTTGTAAATCCCCGCAACTCATGCTCGTCGCATCGGTGCACTGCTGCTCCCAGTAGAATGCAATGTTTCCAGATAGAGATTGGTTTTCTGCAGCATCGAATATATGAGCATTTTTAACTGGCGGCAATTTTATATCAATTTTGAGTTTAAGACGCATCTGAATTTTGGAGGCGATTAACCACTGAGCCTCATCAATACACTTTCAGGGCAGAAAGACTACGGTCGATAGCCATTTTGGGCCAACGTTTTTTTATATATACAGGGTGATTTGTAACATACGGAGCAGACTAAAAGAGTAGGTACTAGGAGACAAATTGAAGATAGTTTCTTAATAATGTTTTGATCACAACTTAATAATCACAAAGATATAGAACGTTAAAGTTGAATTAATGGCCGAGCATTTCTTAGCATATACGGTATTACACTACGTTTAAATTCAAACTGCGAATATTTCGAGGTTATTCCCACAATGCAAAATTAATAAAAATAATAAAACCTTTATAATATAGCAGTTACGGCTATTTAAAAATTTGTTAAAACACTCAAATGGTGGTGTTTGTTTATTGAGAACCGCTGATACCATGTTTTTATTGCTGCCAATCCAGTTGATTTGGTTACTTAGCAGCGGACAAGTATTTTAATTATTTTTTACTGAATATCAGCGGTTCTCAAAAATGGACGTTAAATTATTCAAAACATTAACATGCGATATCTTTGTAACTATTAAATTTTTAACAAAACATTATTAAGAAAATCTCTTCAGTTTTATCTCTAGTACCTACCCTATTAGTCTGCTCCGTATGTTATAAATCACCCTGTATACATTTTTTTTTCTTTCTATCTTTGTTTTCTTATTGTAAATATTTTAATTTGTTGACCTAAATAAATATTGATCTCTCTGTCCCCTATACTTGTATGTATGTATGGATTCGGGAGCGCGTGCGTTTACCGCCCATTGCACACTCTTGTCACATCAACCAGCCTAAGGTTTTGCCAAAGGCTAGGATAGCTCCTAGAGGTGCATTCCTGATATCATCTGTGGTTGGCCATTCCTCCCCAATCACACAATATGTGTTTAACCGTCTCGTCATCCTGTTCGCAGGCTTGACAGAGAGGGGAGTCAGCAAGCTTCATATTTTGAAGGTGCTGATTTACCTTACAGTGTCCCGGAGGAGACCTGTGACAGTTCGAAGGGCACTTTTCCCAAGCCCTACGAGGAACTGAGCTGTTGCGGCTGAAGGATATTTTAACAATTCCTTGGCGAGATGACAGCCCGGGGTTCGGTCCCACTCGCTTAAGAATTTTTTGTGGATAATGCGCTTAATTGACTCGATATGAGTAGCTAAAGAGGGGGTAATTATTGGCTCGGGTGCACAGAGCGCTCTACCGGCAGCACGTTTGGCTAGCCTGTCCGCGTGGTTGTTACCCTTGGAGCCAGAATGCCCCTTAACCCACTGGATTCTGACTCGATTATATTTCACGGCCTCCTGCAGTGCTGTGTGACAATCCATTACAAATGCAGACGTTATAATAACTCTGCTTAACACTAAAAGACATTGTTTACTGTCTGTAAAAATAGTAAAACACTTACCCCGCTTGTTGGATTCAACAATGCAGTCGGCAGCAAGTTTAATAGCAGTCAGTTCCGCTTGTATGACGATGGTACTAGATCCTAAAGGTTCTGAGAGGCGAATCCGGGGATCGTGAGAGAAGACCCCCACGCTTGAACAATTTCGTTCTTTTGAACCATCAGTGTAGATCTTAAAAATTCTATGTCCATCTACTACTGTGGGACTGACGTGGGTGAGGTACTTCTTTGAGAAAACATATTTTGCTGGTCTGTGATGTCTTACACTCGAGTAAGGGTGTGTCTAACACTGCTCTCCTCCAGAGTGTTGAACTGCTGCCAGCGTCCCCATCCTTCATAATTCCTGCTGATTGTAGTCTTTTCATGGTTACCAAGGCCACTTCTTGAATATGTAGGTGGAGTGGTGGTAAATTTAACATGACTTTCATGGCCGCGGTGGGGGTTGATCTCAGCGCACCTGTAAAATACAGACACGCGAGTCTCTGTATTCTATTGCGTGCAGTGGTGGCAGTAGACTTAGAAGTCCTAGTTCACCATACCACCGTACCGTAGGTTAGCATTGGGCGAACCACGGCAGTATAAATCCACAGGGCTATCTTGGGGGGACAAATCCCATGTCCCCCTACTGGCCGAAGGCGACACAAGCTTTATTAACCTTTAACCCGCGCTCTATAATGTATTATGTACACCACATATATGAATAAGAGATGAAGTACATAAATCAATGTATAGGGATAAGAAAACATGTTTCCTCGATTTTTCATGCTGTTTTATTGAGATACAAAAACTACAGTTCTCAACAAAAAAGGCAAACTCTTCAACAAAGAAAAGATTCAAGAAAAAAAAACAAAAACTAAATATTAATATCTCACATATTATGTATGGTTAGTTTGTTTTATCCGCTGCTTGCTTCACCATTTTTGCAGGAATCGCATGTAACAACTGTTGTCATATGTTGTTTGCAAAGTGACCTGCGTGCAACTACTCTCAACTTCGTTCAGAGAGATATGGCTTCATCAAACCTAAGGAGAGCACCAACAAAAATTTTCTTCTGTGCTTGTAAACTGCATCGACATGAGTAGCATTATAGAGCAGTTATCCATTGATCCCCGCGATGTTCATCAGTTGGAAGAATATAACCAAAGGCCATCTTCTTGTCCTTCTTGATATTGAGTATGTGCCACACATTTTATCAACGGTATCAACTCCTCCTTTGGTGGCGTTATAATGTAAGATGATATCAGGCTTACTCGAAACTGGATCTATATCTCCATCCTCGTGCATTGTTGAGATTAATACGACCGCTTTATTTGTTTTCGGTACGTAGGAAACCAATGTTACATTTTTCTGGAATCCAAACAACGAAGATTTCACAGATCTAGTTTTATGAGGCAAAAAATCTTGTAGTATTTCGCGTTTATTTTTTTTCATGGTCCCAATCATAGTAATTTTATCTTCCAATAATTCTTTCGCTAGCGGATAACACTTGGAATATACTGAAGAAAACTACAGCGTCCTCGGAAAGGTATCAACATTTCATTAATTGTTTTTCATTAATTTGCATTTCTGTTTTTTATACGTCTTTAGCGTCACGTTCTCTCATAAATTGAGACCTAACATTCGAAATGTGTAGATTCGTGCATTCAGTTATGTACTGTATCATTTCATCAGTGAATATTCTCATATAGCATCTACTTCATTTTGAATGTCCCTTGCTTGTTGTTTGCCACCGGGAAAAATTTTCACACTGAATTTGTTTTTTAGCGAATTTTTGCTCTATCTAGTCAGTTTATCTTTGGCAATAAAGTAACTGCTATTTCCAACATCTTCTAAATCATCGGAGTCGTTACCTTCGATTTCTGATTCGGAGTCATGTTCAGTGTCCTCTATGTACATTTCAGAAGAAGTATCAGCATCATCGTCGTGTAATTCTTCTTCCGAATCGGAGTCGCAAATTACTTGAGCCAGCTCCTCTAATTCACCCTGCTTCAATTTTTTGGAATCTTTTATTTTTACTTTGTCCCTAAAATGATAAAAATTAAAACTAATTCTATGGACAAATAAGAGCCCTAAATGGCAGTCAATATTACTTACATAGCTACCCGCGCGGTGTAGTACACCAAATAAATTGTCAATAAACCAACTAACTTTCCAGCCACCAAAGTGTAAGTATCTGAGCACCTCGGTCGTAGGCATGAGTGGGGTTTTAACCGCTTTTTAAGTAGAAATGGTGTATTTTATACACCGGTGCGGATAGTTAAAGGTTAACTCTATTATCTAGGTGGGATTTCCACGTTAACTTACTGTCTATTATTAAGCCCAAGTACTTCACTTCCTGTAGACAGTTTAAGTTTAGTTTTAGCAAGCGTTGGCAGTCTAGGATTGCCTATGTTGCGCATGCGTGTAAAAAGAACCATCTCTGTCTTCTTGGGATTGACTTAAAGGGATTGTTTATTACACCAATTCTCAATTAGATTGAGTGCTTCCTGCATCCTGTCGAGGAGTACATCTCCTACACTTCCCACTGTAATTAAGTCGAGGCCGCTTGTGGACGAGGTGTAGCAATATGATGACCACTTTCAGATTAATATATATACACAGAAAGAAGAATGCCTATGTCCATATGCCTTTTTTATAAGTAACTGTTTTCTGCCAATCTTACTACGTGCAGGAATTGCCCACATTTTCTTATTGCTTGCTACATTTTTAGCTTCCTGTGTAGTTTCCTCTTTTGGTGATTATGTTATTTATTGTTTTATCCCAAATGTCTCGCGATCTTCCTCTTTCTCCACTCTGTTGCTTTCTTGCCCACCATATTCGTTTCACCTGTCAAATATCCTACATTCTCTGTAGATGTTTCCACCCACTGAGCTGCTTCTTTTCCATAAAATCGTCCGTAGCTCCTTGTCTGTCTTCGTCGCTCACTTTACTCTTCTCAGGTATTTCATCTCTACAACCTACAATCTACTCTTTTCCTGTCTTACGCTTTCCTTTTACGTCTTTTCTATTCTTGTAGGTATTTATCTCTTTTTCTTGGTTTCCATAGTTATCTATTTCGATTCCAAGGTACTTGAATTGCTTAATATTCAATATTCATTCCATCAATCACTATTTTCAAATTTTCATTTCCACTATAATTTTTGTTTTCGATTTGTACATCTTTATTCCAAAATCCCATTCCATTAATTTAAACTTACATTTAGTTCTTTTTTGCTTCTAGCTACAATAACTACGTTATCCGCGAATGCAGTAGTAAGATTTCTGTTCCCTGTGATTCCAAAGCATATCATTCCAGTGTAATTAAAACCGAGGCCACTTGCGAGCGATGCACCACGATATAATGACACGTTTCGTTGATATATTAATTACTTCGTCCCGATATATACGAAATTATTGGCATAATTTGATTCCAAATCGTAGCATTGGACGGCCATGTATTTTCTTCTTTGGGGATACCTTAAGTGTGAGGAGTATAAGATTAGAGCTCATTTCGGGATATTAACCATTTTTAGAATATTATAAAGGAATATGTTAAATACGTTAAAACAAAAATAAAAATTAAATTAGCGAAGCGTAATTATACAACTTTTTGACTTTGTTGCTTTTACAATGACCGAGAAATACGGCTTCAACCCGTTCATTGCCAAGCAGATAAGTGAAATTTCGTGTGGTGGCCAAATCTTTTTTTTTTTAGTTTTTTCCACGCCATATCGCGTGATCAGCCGTTTGGTGAGAATTCACATCACGTGGTACCGCGTGATTGACAATGAACGTGTTAAAATACACTTTTTGGCGACATTCTATATTCATTTTTGATGTTATGAATTTAAATGTCATACTACAGCGGATGTAGAACCATTATTACTAATTGATATTTCACATACATATTTACTTTATATAAATATTTTGACTGTTTTGTTTGTAGAAACCCAGACGCAAATAAATAATTCTCTGTCTTCGAGAACACCGCGCAAGAAAATATTGAGAATTCTTCGACAAGAAAATTTAAAGGTGCAAACGTTGTTCCCTGAGGCTGCTGAAAAATCGTACACGATTGAAGATTTCTACAATTGTTGTGATAAATTTTTACCTAAAGACTTAGCAAAGTTTGTAAAAGTCCAAGCGAGATTGTATAATAATTCTTGAAAAGAGAGACGACATTAGATGTGTTAAGTGTACACAATTGTGACACGTGCCACAGTATGTTTTTAGATAGTAATTTAGAAATAAGTAATTTATTTATTCATTTTAAGGGGATTCCGGTAGAGAGGATCCAAGAATGCATTGTCTTTTATTTTTTTTGCAATTAAATACCTTGTAAAATATGTTTGTGAAAGTATATTAAAAATTCGCATTATTTTAGAAGATATAGCATATGAAACGTATACTTCCACGCAGTATACGTGGAACACTTCAAAAAGCGAGTTTTAGTATGTTCTTCTTTAGTTTATACCATTTTTCTTTGTAATATATTTTAGAGACTTTAACACAACAAATTTGTACAAGAAAGTACAATGAACTGACAACGTACTATGGCTTGGCTATCTGAAAACATTCCGAATCTATAGAAGATATTAACAAAGAAATTTGGGCAGTGTACTGTTATAAAAGTTCCATAGATGAAAACCCACAACATCAAAAGTATCCCGAAGACTGAAACAGTTAATGTGAAGTGGTGTAAAGCCGAATTCGCATATTTAACATATTTCTCATCAAACTCGCCGCTGGATTTACATGTTATAGAGAAATTAAGGTCCCTTTGTCAAGACTTATCCCATGATGAGCTGCTCGAACGTTGCTTTAGTGCAGAATCCAAAAATAATAATAAGTTGTTAAATCCGCCAATTTACTCTGAAACATTTACATTATAGGACAGTTACAATTACATAAGGTGCAGCTTTCATGACTATTATAATCCTTAATAATGAATTAATACTAATTTTGAAGATTATGGATCTGACGGGAATAAAAATTGACCAAGCAGAATTGCATCACATAGCCGCAATCATCCCCATTAGCCAAGCAGGAATATGTTCGCCTGATTGTGTAAGAAACGCATCACAGAGATGAAAGAATTTACTAACTAACTGTAAAGACTTGTATTTCAGAGTTTCCACAACTTAATTGGTAATCATGATTCCTTATAATCTATTGACTCAAATTGCGCTCAAACTTTGTACACATAGGTTTCGTCTGAACTAAAACCAAGTAAAAATATTAATTTTTATTAATTCTAGAGACCTTTATAATGTAAAAAAGAACATAAATAGACGGAATGCAATCTTCAAGTTAGCATCATTTTGTTTCTTTTGTCATTTTTTTATTTTATACCCTTACACCTTAATATATTAATGAAAATACGGCTGGTGAACAGTATTTAAAGAAAGAGACCGTATGTAAAGAATTTTACGTTTTCATATATTTTAGTGGCAGTCAGGAAGAGCTTCCATTTAACTGATAAAGAATATAAACTGGTAGTAAGCAGTTGGTTACGACAAGCGAATTTACGTTATAATGGGCGAAATAAGGAATATTGTTATTTTATTTTAGTATTCTTTCTTTCGTCTACTCGTCGCAATACTGAATGCAAGAATCGCAGCTCAAATATGAACCAAATGAAAGTTGTTCTGTGCGAAGGGGGGAGATCATATGACGATAACATTTTTGATCTTGACCTTATTTTCAAGGTTATATGAAGGTGACGACCAATTTTTTAAATGAATTAAAAAAAAGTAATTAAAAAAAAATAAATAAAAAAGTTTACTGTTTGGTTTTGCCAGTACAATGGCAAAACATCTTTTGAAAAAAATTGAAATTTCTTCAGAAACAATTAACTAACGTTTATAATCTAGCAAAAATAAATAAAATTTATGAATTTTTAAACATTTTCCTATCCGCTTCGATACATTGTCTCTAGTTCTTAATTCTTAGAACACTATTTAAGAATGTTCAACAAAAAAATCTAGAAGAGGTACATCGGGTGATCTGGCTGAATACCTTTGGAAAGAGGTTTAAAAGGTTCCGACATTTCTCCGCCTTTGTCAATTTGATAATAGATTAACACATGAAAACAAGAGTTCGTGGAACTGCTCATGTCGGCATTTTCAGAATATCGCTTTCAGAGACTTAATTGGTTGAATTGTTTTAAAATGTAACAGGTAACACTAAATTTGCATAAAAACTGCTTGGCAACAAATTCTGAGTACATTCCATCGTTTTACATTTAGGCAAAGTGTTTAAACTAAGTCATTAAATCATGGATACTCTAAGTGTGGCAGAGAAAGTGGAAATGATTTTTATTTATGGAGAAAGTGACAGAAAACTTGCTGATAGTATCTTTGTATCGAGAACGTTTTCCTGATCGAAATACGCCTTCAAGAAGTACCTTTTACAGAGTTGTGAATGATTTTACTAACATTGGAAATGTGGAATCAAGAAAAACAACTCGGCCAGCAACTGTAACTACGGAAGAAAAGGAAATTGCGGTATTAGCTAGCGTTGAGGTAAATCCTCAAGTTAACACTCGACGACTTACAATTGACGCCGGAATATCGAAGACCACATTTCATTGCATCAATAGCTTTATGGATTTTGAAAATCGATTAATATTTTGTCAATGGGCACAAGAACGAATGCGGTTGGACGTCAATTTCTTTAGTAACGTTCTATTCTCGCATGAGTCTAGTTTTACAAACAAAGGACAAGTCAATAGACATAACATGCATTATTGCACGGCTGAAAATCCGAGATGGTTGCGTGAAGTAGAACATCAACGACCTTGGTCGGTTAATGTTTGGTGTGGCATAATTGGTGATAAATTGATCGGTCTATACTTTATTGATGGTATGCTGAATGGAGAGAAGTACCGAAATTGTTTAGATGACGTCTTACCAACGTTACTTGTAGATTTGAGCAGGGAAGAAAGACGAAATATGTGGCTGGAAAATGTTGGGTGTCCAGCACATTTTTCACATATTGCACGTAAAGCTTTAGATCGGGATTATGCTGGGCGACGGATTGGAAGGGGAGGTCCAATTTTCTGGCCTGCCAGATCACCTGATTTAACACCTCTTGATTTTTTTTGTGGGGCGTCCCTAAGGATAATGTTTATCGCGAAGTACCGACTACGCCAGAAAACATGAAAAAGCGAATAAGAAATGCATGCAGAAATAGTCAGAGGCAGCGCTACCGGGGGGGTGCAAGGGGTGCACTGCACCCAGGCGCCGTCTAAAAGGGGGCGCCGGCGCCTTTTTAATGTTTTCTCTTATCTTATCTTATAGTCTTCAAAAAGCAGTATTTAGTCTTCACAAAGGAACAATAAAACAATATTTTTTGAAATTACACTCGGGTCCGGCCAAATATTCTTAGCGATTGTACAGAGAGGACCCACAGCTTTCATAACCGTTAAAAAGTTTTTTAAAAAATTATAGAGTGTGATCAGAAATTTGCTCCGTATGTCCCTGTCTCGAAAAGTCGAAAACTTCATTTTTTGAAATGGCAAACCCAATTTTTTCCTTCACTAGCGTATTTACGCTGAAAAATAAGGGAACTTTGTCATTACTTCCCTATATCTAAAATGTATGGTTTTCGTAGAAGCTTGAAAAAAATTAAATTTTCTTGGTTATTAGTAAATTTAAAATTATCAGTTGGCTTTGGTTTGTGTGGTATTGTGGGTTTACATTAAACACTGTTTTGTTATGGTTTAATCACTCTATTACCAATTATTATACTTTAAAAGCAAATAACAATCTGTTTGGTACAATATTTTAATGTGCATCCGTTCTCTGTAACAGTTGTAAAGCAACTCTTTGAACGTGTTTTAATCTGTTCTTTTGTGGAGTCAAATGGTTGTCTTCTACAGTTGGTTCCATCTTTTCTATGTCTGGTGGAGAATCATGTTCTGTTGTAGGTTCACTCACTTCCGGTGGTGTTTCAATACATATTTCAACCATTAAAATATGATGGCTCAATTTTAGGTGATGGTACTCTTGGTATTTCATCGTCAACCGCTAGCCTTTGACGTAATTGATCTGCGTGTTTTCTTTTTGGTGTTCCATTTACATCCACTTTACAGGTGTCCCGTATCTTCCGCATCAGAGCATTATACGGTTGTAGGAAGCATTATTCTGAAGCGCACGGCATCACGGCAGAAGGTTGCAACATGGCATCCGAAACGTCAAACCTTTTCTTAAAAGACGCACGGCAAAACCCGAAAGTTTCTAGTGTTAGTTCTAGTTTTACTTGATAATTGTTTTGTTTGTATTGCCGCTTGTTTAAAAACGCATGCCGACGCTTGTACTTCTTCGAACGTTACTTTGTTTGAAGGGTGTGAACGAATGATTTGTTCTTGCCAACCCGTTTGATTAATTTCAATTATTAATTGATCTCTTAACTGCTCTTTAAGATTATCACCGAAATCGCAATTTCCCGCTAGACCGCGCAGAGCCGAAACATATTGGTTTATCGATTCGTCGTGGCGCCTAAATCTACATGCGAAATTTATTCGTTCCTTAAATACCATATATATACTATCTTCTATATCGCTGACTCCCTATCTAAGCAATGAGTGGCGAGCGTTTCCATCAAAAGAAGACGGAATGATATATGTTTTGTCTTTGTCGTACCCCGGTGTCGTGAAAGCGCTAGCGCGAATCGTAAATTTTAAAGAGTGTGAAGTGTTTCGCGCGTATTTTATGCAGCTTTAAAATGCAATTATTATTATAGATGGTTTACTTTAACTATAAATTATCACTGATGCATCAAATAAATTAGAGTATATGTACTTTTGTGTGAAATTGAGGTTAAATATTGCATTAAATATCAACTTTATGTAGATTGTTCATTAAAAAAAATATATAATTTTTAACATAATTTGTGGGCTCACGCTATTTAAAGAAGTTGTTACATTAATGAAAGATATAAAATATATACTTACTATTTAAAGTACATAACATTCTATCTTAAAATTTTCATTATTAATAATTAGCTGCTTGTTTGTTTATGTTTGCGCCATGTACTTACCAGACTTGTGGGTTACACCAATTATTTTTGATTAGATTACAAAAGGGTAACAAAATAAAAGACGATTATTTGTTGATTTATAAACATCAAGGTCATCAGCTGCTATTAATTTTTAATTCACCGTCCAATAAGATAAAAGCGTACTCATCACGTGTTCACACATGTCTCTTGAGTCGACGGGGGTACGACAAAGACAGATATATATATATCTGCACTCTAGTGTTTACACTCTTTTGCTGCCTTAGTCAGCGATATAGAAGATAGTATATATATGTTAAATACGTATGTTTGTTTCCCGTAAAAGTTATTCAGCACTTGTTTAAGTTCGTCATATGATCTTTGTTTACCGCAATCGGTTTGAAATGGTCCACTAGCCTTTTAAACACTGTTATGTTATGGTTTAATCACTCTGTCAGCTATTAATATACCAACGGTGGGCAAATGCGGCTCTTTGAAAAATTATTTGTGGCTCTCGATAAATGTAGTCGGGGTCCTTTTTTTTTTTTAGTATATAAAATATAATTTCTCAAAAAAAATTTTTTTTAATACCTTTTTTGCATACCTTTTTAATATACAGGGTGTCCCGTATCTTCCGCATCAGAGCATTATACGGTTGTAGGATACATTATTCTGAAGCGATCTTTCTAATAAAATTTTTCCGAAATGTTTATAATAACCGCACGGGAACTGTTTAAACGAACTGTTTTTCGTCCAATCAGCAGATCGCAATCAGACTCAGGTAATCGGTGCCACCCTCGGCCGGTCCGCTACGCCGATGATAACTCGTTTCCTACGTGTACTCACCAATGGATTCGTCACGCGAAGAGAAATAAACTTTTTCGGTGAATCAAACTCGTCCGCTATTGGACAAAAGCGGATAACTTTAAACAGTTCCCGTGCGGTTATTATAAACATTTCGAAAAAATTTTATTAGAAAGATCGCTTCAGAATAATGTATCCTACAACCGTATAATGCTCTGATGCGGAAGATACGGGACACCCTGTATACGTATTTAATTGCGGCTCGCGAAAAATTTCGAATTTTCAAAAATGGCTCGGACTATCAAGGAGCTTGCCCACCCCTGTAATATACAGTATGTCCACGGAAAAGGTGTTGAATAGGAAAAACTTTTTTATTTATAATTTTATCGAAAAAAGTTAATCTTGATACAAAATTTTGCTAGTTCTTAGAGCAAGATTAGGATAGAAACATTTAACATATTTTATAGGCGGTGTTCAGAAAATTGAAAAAACTTTAAATTGTACAAGAGTAAAGTGCATTTATTTGCAAAGATATCGAAATAAGTTACTAGAAAAAATTGTTCAAAAATAAAAGGTAGTCTCTAATACCAATTTTCGAAAAAATCGGCCTACTATGATTTATTTGTGATCATTTTTGTATTAGTAGGCGTTGATAGTGACAAGCTTTATTGACGCTGTTATACTTTATTAGCCGTAGTATTGTTAGCTTAAAATGCTTACTTTACAGCAAAAAATTTACTTGGTGCAATGTTATGGGAAAGGCGAAAAATGTTATCGTCGTGTTATTCAGGAATTTAATGAAAACTTCCTCAATGTGTACGTTTCTGAGATTACTTGCTGTAAAATAATTTTGAAGTTTCTAAGCACTGGGTCATTGTTGCGAATACCTAGAGCAAAGAAGAGATACGATGAAAATAATGCAAGCACTTTGTTGGTATTACATTCAGTAGAGGTACACCCAAAATTATCATTAAGAAAAGAGCTGAAAATCTCCAATTTGTACAACAACAAACATCCATACAAGCCAGTTTATAGTCATGTTTTGGAAGTTGGCGATGGAGCAACACCTTTAGATTTTTGTTTGTGGATTGGCAGTATGGAAAGAGGATTTCATAAGAAAATAATGTTTTCTGATGAATCAACTTTTTCGGCCAATGGTGTTGTGGCTTCGCAACATCGTGCATATTGGAGTAGTGTCATATTTAGAATAGAGCCATACTTCTTTGACACTACTTGTAATGCGAATAGCTATTTAGCTATGTTAAGAAATGTCCTCGACGGCGAATTAGACAATCTTCCATTAGAATACAGTCGTTCATTTTATTTTCAACAAGATGGATACCCAGCACATTATGCGGCAACGGTTAGACAATGGTTAGACCATACGTTTCCCGACCACTAGATTGGGAGACAAGGACCAGTTCAGTGGCCTCATAGGAGTCCAGATTTAACATTAATGGATTTTTTCCTATGGGGCTAATTGAAATAAATTGTTTATCTACAACTATTGAATTATCTATTCATTATACATTTGATTTTTGACAGGTAATGACACGCATTACTCATGACTGACAAAGTGTTGAATAATGAAGCCATTATTCCACAGTTCTGACACGGCCTACTAATCAAAAAATAAAATATTAACAGAAATGACAGCTTTCTTATATTGAGGTTATGTCTGAAATGTCTATCAAGTTTATTTTTTTTCATTTTTTTGATTTTTTTTTCAAAATTAAATAGTTGTAGATAAAGTATAGTATTCAACTTGCGTATAATGGATGTTGCAACTTCATCTTCGTGGGTAACAGCCGCCATTATACGCTTGTTCAATAATATGCTATTGTCCACGACTACCTTATAATATATACCTTATGAATGAGTTTTCTAAAACAAAATGGTAGTCATTTTTCACGGAGTGAATAATAGCGGTGAATAATAATCATTATTCACGGGTAGCCATCTTGACCAGACTAATAATAATTATTTGAAACGTTAAAAGTTCAAAAAACGTCAATTTAATTCAATTTTTTAGTAGTTTCTAAGTGTTTGACATTAAAAAAACCTAAACAAATTCGTTTTTTCGTATGATTTAAGCATAAATTAATTAATTTTCGTAAAGAAAACGACGTTTTATAAAACTGACACTTAATTTTGACAAATTGTTGTGAAGTTGGTTACAGTTAGTAACATTGAATTTGTGTCACATTGACGTTTAACCTTTATTCAAAAATTTATTTAAAAAATAAATTTATGGAATCAATTTCAATAGTCGTGGACAAAGAATAGTATTCTACTCGCATATAATGAGCTATTATTAACCTTCGTGAATAATAGCCCTCATTATATGCTCATATAATAATATACTAGTTTGCCCCTAGTACCTACCCTTTTAATCTACTCCGTATGTTATAAATCATCCTAAAATTTAAACTATATAAAAAACTTCTTACTTGCTTAATATCAATTTATTCGGAACCGGTTTCGAGCTTAGCCCATCATCAGCCGAATCTACGTAAAAGTAATTACATTATGATCAATTAAATATAATGAAAAACATAATAAAAGTATTACAATCATAAACTTATTGTCAAATAGTTAAAAAGAAACCCACGACGTCATTAAAACAAAAATTATGAAAAGAATACATATTGAAATATATCAATCAACAATGATGTATGTTATTGTGAACAATTAAAGTTAAAAACACAGTGTATAAATAAAATTGTATAGATAAAATATTGTAAAACACTTTAAAAAGAACGAAACGTACGAAACAAAATTTGACATGAGCACGAGAAAAACGACTCTGAAACAGAAAAATAAAACCGGATACAAGAGCCTAAACGAAAAACGATATGAATTTTTAAAAAAAATTACAGACAATAAACAACAACAGTGCGTTTCAAAAGTAACGGATAAATTCGATAAATTCAAATTTCGGTTACGGTTGCGGTGAAAGTTACAGTTTGGATGACTTTCATTAAACACCGCACGGATTTCGTTATATGTTTGGACTCTATTTCCGAAACCAATCATCATAAGAATCTCGATTCTTTCAGTTTTAGTAAGCGTCATTATTACTTTCTTACTTACCGAACAGTCAATAATTAAAAAATAACCAATAATAGATAAACAAATAACAACAAAAAAATAACAACAAATAGCGATGAATAGCAACAAATAACAATAATTAACACAAGAAACTCCACAATACTACTCAAAATAATCTCATTAACGCACAATAAATTGGTTCAAATCGAATTTTGACACTTGGAAATTTTAAATCAAAACAATTGGTTGCCATGGTTACGCACGTCTATTACTATTTTTTATATCAATTGAATGGAAAATAATGAAACTTTAAATTAATTTTGCTCGAAAATTTTCTTATGTAACCGATATTAATATTTATTGTACCTACATACTTCAGAAAAAAATCCTCTTTCAAATTTCAATATAAAAAATGGGGTGTTCCATTTAAAAAAAAGCTTCTATGACGTCATCAGTCAGAATTTAAAATATACACCAAAAAATTTAAATCTTTAGACCCGTTTCAGGGATTTTTTTCATCAATTATTTATAATAATTCTATCGAATTTATCCGTTACTTTTGAAACGTACTGTGTTAACATGTACAAATACAAAAGTAATTGCGCCATCTTTTGGCGTCCTTACGATTTTGTTGAAGACAACTGTAATTTTGTGGTTACGACCCAAACAAACACTCCGAACCACTCCGAACGCTCCGAACCTAGCTTTGTTTGACTGTTGACATATTTTAAACTTTAACGGTATTTTCGGGTTTTCGAATATTTTTCCCGAAAGTATATGTCTGTTATATTCGTAAACTTTAGTACTGTTTTCTTTAGGATACAAAGCAACATATACATTATCGTAAGTTAAGAAACTTTTAAATTTATTATTTACCATAACCATAACAATTAAAATAGAGGTTCCTTATTATCACTTTCTTGTTAAAAGTAAGAGTATTTAATAGTTAAATCCAGCAACGATTAAAACATGCTATCAATATCAATCCCTTAGATTTAAGAATATGATGATTAGGAGACCGAAAAACTGATTTTACTAAGAAATATCTTAAAATATCAATATGCAGTAAATAAAAGTACATTCTAAAAGTAATTTTAATATATTTGTTATGTTTCAAACAGATTAATAATGGCGGTGGCATTGACACCAACAAGAAAACGATTAGTACGAGATTCTTCAAATGATATTTCTTTAAATATGGTAAGTTTAGATTGTCTTACTTATAAAAACAAAAGGAAATTACTTTAATCTGGGGTTTCTCTTTCAAGACTCTTCATAGCATTCAAAATGATGAAGAAGAGCGCCACCAAAGACGTCAAAGTCTTGCACCGAAACATGTTTCCTCGAATAAGAAAAATATCAGTCAAGAAGAAGCTAAAAATCACTATGAATTGTGTAAAAAAATGTTTTTTGAGAATGTAAGGTAGAAAGTTTTTTATGTGGAATGTTTAAAATGTTTTATCATTACTTTTTTTGTTTTAGAAAATAACCCCAAAAAATGCTTGGGATTTACGTATAATTTATTTTTTCACAAGCGTAGTTGATACGAATGTGTCAGAAAAGGATCATTTTCAACAAGTGGCTTCAACACTTGAGATTTGCACCAAAGTATATTCCTGTAGGGTTGATGATTTACATGCAGAAGGTGTTAAATTAGCTAATACATTAGCTTCACAAGAAGATTTAGGTGAAGGTATGATTCAAAATTAATTATCTAAATATTTGTGTTTAAACATTTCTCGTCAAATTCTTGTATGTGTGCAAAATAACCTAACATATACATATTACCAATTTTGATTTGTCTTGAATTTTTTATTACTGTTTTTATGTGTAATACTGTGATTTTTTTTGTTACTGCTAGGCTGAGGGAAGTAGTCCCTCTCGCAACCACTACCTATAAGATCTATAGTAACTTGTGGCCTCCAAAGGTTTAGGGCAGATCTAGGTTCTTCATGAACTTGAGTATTGCTCCAAAGTCTTGTTTCTTTATATCACTAGGTGTCACGCAAATCATTTCAGCAGTCTCTGACTTGTCATTGCAAAGTCAACATGTTTGATCCTCAGCTTGTCTAATGATGAAGAGATGATAGTTTAGGGACGTGTAACCGGTCAGGAAACTTGACAGCGTCCTTAAGTCCCCTTTGCTGAGCCATAAAACCTTTTCGGTTTTCTTTTGCGACGAGTTATCATACTCCAGCGCAAGGCTACCTTTGAGTCCTCCCATGTGTTAATCACCTGTTTTAAGTAGCTTTTTGTAGCCCACATCTGGTGTCCTCACTGCCTATTTAGCCAGTTTATTTATTTATTTATTTCCATTAAAGCTCTACAGGGCAAACCCCAATTACAAAGGTTTTACAAAATAAAAACAATACTACTAAGACCGTAACTTAACATTAATCCAAAAAATTTAATTGAAGAGTATCTAACACCAAAGAAAATAAACAGTTACTGTTGTAATCGTTAACATAATGGAAAAACAAATTCTCAAATTAATACATAAAAATACCAGTATTATTAGAGTTTATAAGATTTTTCACATAATTTTTAAAAGATTTCTACTCTGAAAAACGAAAAAAATCGACATCCTCAAGATTATTAACCAAACAAGAGGCTTTGTAAATAGGTGCGTGCAACAAAACTACGTAGAACACATTTAAGGCAATGTTCTCAACCAATTTGGTTACCAGTTTGAAGTTTATTGAACCAAATTTTATACAATGTATAAGCATCCAAGATAGCACGCCTTCTCTCAAGGGAAGTAAACTCATTAGTACTCAAAAGTTGCATATACGGTTCAAAGGTGGGATATGATCCTGTCATTTTATAAGTAAGATACCTTATAAATTTTTTTTGAACTATCTCGATTATAGATTTATAGGTCACATATGCAGTATTCCAAATGAATGAGGCGTACTCCAACTTACTTCTTACAAATGTATTAAAAAGTTCTTTAAAGGTATTCCTATTTTGAAATTCAAAACAATTTCTAACAATAAATCCCAATTGCCTATATGCATCTACCGCTAATCTATTAATATGCCTTGAAAATGAAAATTTTAAATCAAACGTAACACCTAAATCAGGCAATCTCTGGTGCGATAGGCGCAACGCCAACTCTAGCAATGGAGGTTTTGCTTGGCCTATCTCCTCTGCATTTGCATATAGAGAAAGTGGCTAGAACAACCATTTACAGATTTAAGCAATATGCTCAAAACTGTTCCGACATGTCCTACCAATGGGCTGCGGAAGACATTATAAGCAGTGATACTGTGCTATCAATGCCGTCAGATTTGGCGGTATCACTATCAGTGATTAATGCTCGATACCAGATTGTACTGCCTGAGCGGTAGTCCTGGATCGAAAATGAAAATTCTCTGGTTCAGGCAGACATTTGCTTGTACACAGATTGATCAAAAACGCCTGAAGGGGTAGGAGCAGGAGTATACTGCCAGACACCTCGAATTAAGCAAGCTTACAGCCTGGGTACGTACTGTACTGTATTCCAGGCGGAAGTATTTGCTATGGACATGGGTGCTAAAATCCTTCTTGAAAGAGGGGTGAAGAACATGACAGTACGAATTTTCTCAGACAGTCAAGCCGCTCTCCAGGCGCTGCAAGCCGTGAAAACGGTGTCGGCTCTGGTTAACGATTGTAAGAGAACATTAAACATACTGAGTTGTGATAACAGAGTCTCTCTGATCTGGGTCCCGGGTCACTCTGGGGTTGCTGGCAATGAAGCGGCAGTTGGTGTATCATTTGCGATGGCCAAATATAGGATTGGACTGTGGGCTGAAGAGAGACTTCGCCTACTGTGCACCAGTTCTCCTGGAATGACACATGCTAAGGTGTTTATTAACATCGCCACTGTCAAACCCGGGAATATTTTAGGACTTCCCCGTAGTAGCATAAAAGTTCTAATGGGTGTTTTTACTGGGCACTGCCGATTAAAAGCACACCTCAACTTGTTGGGTTTAGCCGACGATGTTGAATGCCGACTATGTGCGGAGGAAGCAGAGACGGTTGAGCGAGGCGGTGAAATTTGATAACGATATCTATCGGGGTACAATAGATCCTTAGGGTCGCGGTGCAAGGTCGATTGGTCCGCCTACCCGATATATAGTCAATGCAATGTAATGTAATGTAACACCTAAATCACAAACATATTCATTTCTTTTTAAAATGATCCTGTTCATGTCATGGTTATGAATTTGCAACTTTTTCTTCCTACTAATTTCGTTCGCATTTCGACGTATTATGTGGTTACACCGGAAGAGGTAACATATTTCAAATGGAAGCCAACCCAACCCTGACTTTTATTAAATTTTTCAATCAAAAATGTCAACTACAACGTTACTTTTTATAATTTATAAATCATCTACTTTGACCGCCGGAAAAAAAATTTTGTGTTGGGAATGTTGTTGTGGTTATGTATTATCAGAAGATCAGTAAGGAAAGAGTAAATAGTTTGACATTTGCTAAAGCTATGGTTTATTTCTGTTGGTGTGATGACTAGCTTACTTTTTATAGCGATCTGTTCTCAAGAAATGCCACGTTTGGAATTTAGTAATGAGTATTATTTGAATCTGATAATAATATGGTATGGAGAAACCAAATATGTAAAAATATATAGAGTGTTCCATTTAAAAAAATAAAGTAGGTGGCGACTTCCGGTATAACCGGAAGTGCTAGAAATCTGAAAATATTTTAGTCTAAGGCTTAGATGGATACTTAGGATACTAGGGAAGCCCTAGTAGTAAATGCATACAAAACTTCATATTCTTCGGTTTACTTATAGCGGAAATAAAAAATAAAATGTAAATTTTTGGCTCAATTTTGGCCCTATGTTTATGCAAAAAGCTTGTGTTATTTTGGCAAGTACTACGTCCTAGTAAAATTTCCCGGTTAAAATCTGAACCATCCTGTATATCTCTGTAGGTGCTAAAAAAAATGTCGGGATATCTTAAGTTGCACCGTTGCACCATGGTTTTATCTTAATATTCTCTACTTACTTAAATGCTGAAATTGAAACTGTTCTTGTGCCTGGTAGTATTTCAAACCATTGATAAATTCATGCTGGACCCTAATAATTATTTCTTTACTAAGAAAACTTAAGTCATCAAGCGACTCAAGTTTAGTTTTGTACATCCGGGGATCTTAGCGGCCATTCAATTGATCGACGCCTTTCATTCTATTTAGGAAATGCTACTTCATAGAGATATTGCCTAACATAAACTGCATAATGCGGTGGTGCACCATCTTACATGACCTATAAATTTTCATGATGTAACATCGGGTTATTAACAGTGCGAAATGAATTTCTTAAATTGGGGATTAGACATTGTTGTAAGAAATCAATATATCGTTTAATAAGACCGTTTAATGTCTGTTCATAAAAGTAAGGCCCATCTGGGGTTTTCTTTGCCCAATGCCGACAGTTTTGTTTATTAAAACCATTTTTGTGAAGACATTTGAATATCGACATAGGCTGTGCTACATGGAAAATACTCAGAATTTTACGTAGAATCCATAAATGCAACAAAACATAGGGTTTCCTGTTTAAAAATGTCAACTTAGGGACACCTGTACATTTCCATTTCATCTAAAAAAATGCGCTTAAAAAAATAAGATAGATGTCTAACAATTTTATATTGTCGATATCACATATATTAAGTTAATTTTTGTAAACCACTATCATTTAATTTAGATAACCAGGAAGATGATAATAACGATAATCAAAGAGGTTCGAAAAGAAAGTCGAAGAAAAAGCGTTCACGCCTAGCTGCTAGCAATACAGAGTGCATAGCCAAGGAGATGGAGTCGTTATTAGGGCCGATACCGAAAATATCTGGAGTGCCGTTCAACATCGAAACAAAAGGCGATCCAGAACGAACAGTAAACCTTTATACAAACACTGTTCCTTTTGATCAATCGTACAAAGAACATTTAAACGACAAAGAAGCGGCTTGCTTTTTAACGTATAATTTAAAAGACGATGATCCTAACGCAGAAATTATTACTGAAGATGCGATTGAGAAAGTCGTTCCGAAAGTTAAAGGTTTAAGACTCTGCGCTGAATTTGAGAATTTCGAGGTGAATGTTGTTGACTGTGATTTAAATACTACAAGGTAAGTTTACTGTTTTTTTTCTGCAAAGAGCAAATTAGCTTTAGTTTTAATCAGCCCAAAGTATTTTTAGCAGTTATACAAATAAATAGCTTTAATTTATTATTAGTTTTTATCATAAACAATATATAACACTTTTTTTCTGATGACAATATACAGGGTGAGTCAGAAAGAATGGGAAATCCGAATACCGGAGATACTAGACACCAAAATATGATGATTTAACGTAACATCTCTTATACAAATGTCAGTGGTTTTCGAGGCATACGGTGTTGAAAGTTAAATTCTTATTTCGAAATTTCTTGATAATTTTGAAGGTTTTTGTACTATTAACATAAAATTTGGTAGTTTTATGTTTTTGAGCATGAGAAATACGAATTTGAAACTTGTTTTGTTATTGGTCGTAGAGGGCGCTAGATACACGCTGCTCGTTTGATAAATCAAATCATAAGTTTTTTGGCTCGACAGCTACGACCTATAAGAGCTGCAAATCACAAAGAGCATTCAATTTTACATAAAAAAGGTACTCTTATTGAAATTGTCTAAGTCTATCGGTTTTCGAATTATTTACTTTTAAATGTTTAAATGTATTTTTTCTTCTAAAATATTTATTTTTGAACATAAGCAAAGTTGGCTTATTTTTGCGCTCATGTTTCGACAATTGCTTGTTAATTGTCAACATTGATCTAATTTTCGCGTGCAATAATCATTTTTACCAACAATAAAGTTATTACCAATTTGAAAATGCCACGACATAATGAGTTTTCTAATAGTGAAAAATCCAGATTTAAATCCACTAGAATTTTGAAAGTGGTCACAATATTCTATTGTTATTAATTAATTGTTATTGTTATCGATTATTATTGTTACTAATTGCTATAGTTACTGTGTTATTTATTTTAAATGTTAACCTTAAAATTACTTTGAAACAATTAAAAGCAGATAACTTGGAAACGAGTAGACTTAGACAATGTAAGCAAGAGTACCTTTTTTGTGCAGAATTGAAAACTCCTTCAGATTTCTGGTTCTAATTCACCATACCTCAACTGATAAAATAGTCATGACTTGATATCTCAAACGTACAGTGTGCATCTAGCGCCCTCTACGAGTAATCACAAAACAAATATGAAATTCGTATTTCTCATGCTCGAAAACATCTAACTACCAAATTTTATGTTAATAGTACAAAAACCTCCAAATTATCAAGAAATTTCGAAATAAAAATTTAACTTTCAACACCCTGTGTATTAAAAACCACCGACACTGTATAAGACATGTTAGGTTAAATCGTCATATTTTGGTGTCTAGTGTCTCCGGTATTCGGATTTCCCATTCTTTCTGACTCACCCTGTATAATTTTTGTAACTTTATGTGATTTCGAGTTATTTTTTTTTGTTTAGAGGTACAAATTTAAGTTTTGACCAACCCAACATAACTCAACATCAATCCGTTTTCGATCAACATGGTCACCCCATAGTCACTCTTGACGGTTCCATGCACGACATTTTTGATAATCAAGACGACGGCGGCTGCGATAATGCTGGTAGTGCAGAGGATGGCGTAGTGATAGAAGAAGTAGAAGGTCGTCTTGCGAACGGTCTCGATACGGTATACCATGAGGTGCATGTAGTATCGTTTTGCCCAGGAGGTGAAAAAGTTAGCGAACCTGTATCAACAGCTAATGATATGAAAGAAAATGTTTCTCAATGGCTTAATACAATGTTGGTGGGACCAAGTCATTGGAAGAATAAGTTATTGAAGAGGTCTGGTAAGTTAATTCTGAAGTTTCATTCTGTTTGTTTGTGATTCTCTAAAACTTAACGATTAGATTTGTGTTTTTGTTAAGTACAGTGTCCATACAGCTAGGCACATCCGATAGTTTTGTTAATTCACTTTATAACAATCTTCTTATTTGAACGAATGTTTGTATCCTGGATGCTCCTTTTGTTTGTCTAGCTAATTTTCTATATTTTTTGTGGTAACATTTTTAGAGCACAGTCCATACCAGCTTCTAACTTTACCATTAATTCAAGTAATTCTGTTGTGAAATGCATCTTTTCTTCTTTTCCATTTTCATACACCTTGCATAGCTGCGGAAAACGAGATAACCCCGTATGACAAACCGAAGTTGCGTGCATTTATAAATGAATATATTGTTCCCTGTAAAATATGTTCTCATTCAAAATGGATTTACTTTTATATTTGCCTTCAGTGTCAAGATACTCTGGTGCGGTAGAAGAAAAAAAGCCGATGGCAAGACGTCGTGTAGAAAAAAAAATTGATCAAGAAATCGACTTTTTTGGAAGTCCACCTAAAATAGATTTTAACGCTAAAGTGAAAGTTCTAAATCGAACCAATACCGACGAATCGAAGTAAGTTTCATTTCTTGTTCCATAAAAACCATAAATTAATTATTTTTTGATTATGTAGATTTATTTTACCAAAAAACTATTTAAAAAGATGCAGAAATAGTGATCTGCTTATGTTGATGAATTACATCCCCGAGAAAACTTACAGCGCTCCTAAAGAAAATCTTAAAGAAAATGACGAAGAAGCAAACGTATTCACTCACGAATGCAACGATTATAATTATGATAATTTAAATGATTCTCAATATTGTTTGGCTGTAAGTTAAAAAACTGTTCGTTACATTTTTTAGTATTAAACAAAAACTTCTATGTAATACAGGGTGAATTAAACTTGTATGAATTAATATTACAGTAAAACCTTGATATAACGGACCTCGTTGGTAGACATCGGATATAATGGACAAAATATATTTAAGTCATACTATTAACCCAGATATGCCCACTGTACTACATATAGTTCACGTGGAAGTGTCATTTCAGGTGCACACAGGCATTCAGTAAGAAGTAGTGGTTGCGTCAATGTGCATAGGTTTGCAATTAAGTGTTAATTATTATTATTATTATTGCTGAGGGGAGCGACCCCTCGTTACCGCGACCTATAAGATTTATTGTAACTTTAGCCCTCCTAAAGTTTAGAGCAAATGTAGGTCCTTGATGAACCTTAGTATTGCCCCAAGCTCTTATACCTTTATGTCGGTAAGTGTCAAGAGAGCTTTACCGAAAATTTCGTGTCTTAGACGGTGTCTAGCAACGCCATTACACAGTATATGTTCAGCTGTTTCTGACTCGTCGTTGCAAAGTCGACAAGTTTGATCCTCAGCTTGTCCAATGTATCCAACCTGAGAGCGTCCTTAGATTCCCTTTGCTGAGGCATAAAACCTCTTTGGTTTTGTTTTGCGACGGAGTTATCATACTCTTCGCTTGTCTGTGACCTGGAAGTTCTTTCCAGTGTTGACCTCCCAACTGTTGATTATTTGTTTTAGGTGGCTTTTTTGTAGTCCACAACCAGGTTTGGGTCCAATGAAGGATTCGCTGCCTGTCTGGTCAGCTTGTCCGCCTTCTCATTGCCCTCAATGTTGCTGTGACCTGGAACCCACCATAGGGTAACATCATTGCCCCTAGCGAATTCTCTCAGGTTGCTGGTACACTCTCTGATCAGTGCGGAGTCACACATGCAGGCCTGAATTGCCTTTAAGGCGGCCCGACTGTCTGTGAAAATGTTTATGGATGCACCTTTCTGTCCCTTTTGTATGTTCAAAGCGGTGCAGAAGTTCATGGAAAGAACTTCTGCTTGAAAAATGGTTATGTCCGAGCTAAGGGGCAGTTTAATGTGGCTATTTGGTCCACTGATGTCCATGCCTACTCCGGATCTAACTGTCTTTGAAGCATCGGTATATCAGGCTTGGGCTCCTCTTTTTAGTTGAGGCCCACCCTTCGCCCAATCATCCGTGCTTCTAAATATGACCTTATACGGCTGGTTGAAATTGTATTCTTTCGGTATAAGGTCCGTTCTAATTTCAATCAGGTGATTTAGACATGGGTCCTTGAGGATTTCGAAGTGTCCTCTGAGGTTATCCTGCATGAACTTGAGTGAAGAAACTGTTTTCAGTGATATGGTACTTGAACCTGCCTCCTTTTGTATATATAAATGAAGAGGTGAGAGACCGAGTAGGGCTTCCAGAGCAACCGTCGAACAAGATCTTATTGCACCCGTTATATTAAGATATGCTAACCGCTGGATTTGTTCCAGCTGTTGTTGTGCTGTCTTATGTTTTGTTTTTGGCCACCAAACCAGTGAGGTGTAGGCGACCATGGGTCTGATTATAGCTATGTAGGCCCAATAAGCCATTCGTGGTTTGAGACCCCAGTTCCTTCATAGGAGCCTGCGGCAGATCTGCTTGCCAGGCGATTTTAGGGGCTTAAAATTAGAAATAGCCCACCTTACTCTGTTGGATGTAAAAATGTTCCCAGCTATGCTGCGAACCCTACCTCATGGACGGGTTATGTCTATTACTCAGCGTACTCAGTAAGAGCTCCAACGATTCCTTAGCATCCTCGGTGTATTTACCGTCTTGTTTGCATCTTGTTTACATCAGTGTTATGGTATTTTGCCAAGATCTTATGCAGGCGAGCAACTATAGGCGTATTGTCTATGCCTTCACAGAAACTACGCCAGATTTTTCTTTTGGCTTTACGGATAGCCAAGTTATACTCTGTTAGGACTTTCGTATAGAGGTCCCATGTTTGCTCGAGTTTGGAATGCCTGACTTTATTATATAGTCTTCTAACCATGACTCGCTGTTGTTCAAGTTCATTATTCCACCAAGGCACATTAAATTGTGCTCTTTTGTGTTTTATTGGACAGCTTGATTCATATGCACTATGTATGATATTTAATAGAAAAGAGGCTGTTTCCTTTCTGCTTTCAATGTTTGTTTTGAGTTTGTCGACCTCTATGCTGATGTGTCTGCAAAAAGAGCACCAATCAGTGAGAGAGAGAGGGGGTTCTGAATTCTGTCTGTTTTATCATGTCTGCTACAATGACAAAGCGCAAATATGCTTGTGATCCCCTAAAGTGATTTCACGTGAAACATGCCAGTTTGCAATTTGCGAACAAAGACGATTCGTGGCTAGGCTTATGTCTAGTACCTCTTGTCGACTCTTGGTAACAAAAGTCGGTTCCTTACCCCTGTTGAGAATATCTAAATTTGTACTTTGTAAGTATTGGTAAAGGTACTCACCCCTTTTGTTTGTGTCTGAGCTGTTCCATGCGAGATGGTGTACGTTCACATCGCAGCCCGGGAGGAGTTGTTTCCTCCTCTTATTGCAGTAGTCTATCAGGTCTTTCAACTCCTTTGGCGGTGGATCGTCCGATTCACCGGGGAAATATGTCGAGGCTATAATCGCCTCTTGCTTACCTTCCGGCGTCGGCAGTACCGCTGACATTGCAACCAGGTCCCTAGAGATAAACTGGGTTAAAGGTAGGCAGTTTACGGAGGATTTGGCGAGTATCGCTGCTCTCGCGGGGCACTCTCCCCTGTGATAGATTAACTTACCTACTTTTGTTGTTAGTCTTCTGACTATTCCTCCATATACATATGGCTCTTGGATCAGCGCAACATGTATATTAGGACGGTAGAAGCCCTTGACCAGCACGTCGGAGGCACTTTTACAGTGCTGGATGTTGGCCTGGATGAAGACTACTCCCGCCATTGCTGTTTGCCGGGTGCAGTTTTGGGAGCGGCAGTTTTGCCCTAACCCTTCCTTTCGAAGCTTACCTTACCTGTACCCTTCTTGGGGTCCTTGAAGGTCCGGAAGTTCCTGGCATCGGTTCGGGTTGTTTCTTCTGTGGCGTAGGCTTGTCGCTCCTTTTCTCGGTCTGATTTTTCATCCGCACTGTTGGGGAAATAGGCGTTCATGATAGTCGCTTTGGGTAGCTCCTTTTCATCAAGGGCAATTAGGGATGCCCGCTCCCATGGTTGTAAGGTTGGAGTTATGGACATTATCCAGTCTGCTGTCTCCTGGTTTTCACAGTTGATTACCAGCCAGCTTGCCTTAAATGTGGTGCCGAGGAACTTATGCTTGATTTCGCCTTCGTGTCCCTCGCTAAGGTCCACTATTCTCGAGATGATAACCTCTTGAATAGCCTGCGTTTAGGCTGTTGTGAGGTTCACTTCTGGAAATAGGGAATCTGCATTCCCATCTTTTTACCTTCCAACATCTGCTCATAGCTGGCAGCTGTAAAATAATAGCTGTAATAGCTTTTGCCCCTGCGGAAGATTGCCTTCGCTAGCAACGCTACGCCTTTCAGTCGCCGCTCGTTTGGTGTCGGGCCCTTTTGGCGTTGTGCCTTTTAGCCCTCTTCTCCTCCTCACTGATTGGCTGTGTGGCCTTTGCTTGGGCTTCCTCGGGAGTCAGCCCTTGTTTGAGCAGCCACTTAAGCCTTTTTCGTACTGCACCACTTAATTTTTTGTCTTTAATTTGGAGCTTCTGAATGCACTCCTGGAGTTCGATGGTCTCAGACGTTACGACGCTGCTGACAGTGGAGGAAGCGGGGGATATTGTAATATCCTTCCTGTAATATTTTCCAAACAAGTGGATTGATAATAATGGTCCATTTGCGTGGCCACCTAGATCCCCCGACCTTAATCCATTGGATTTCTATTTATGGGGTCATATGAAACAAATTGTGTGTCAAGTGGAAATTAACACACGAGAACCGTTATTAAACAGAATACAAATGGCTGCTACTGAAATAAGAAATCAACCAGACATTTTAATTCGGCTGAAGAACTCTTTAATTCGTCGTTGTGAAGCATGTATTCTAGCAGAAGGAGGCTATTTTGAACAATATTTGTAATTTAATTATGTTTTCATCCATTTACTTATTTAATTATTTAGACAATAAAATGATCATATACAAAGTGATATCTTTATGACTTGAACAAGTCATAATTGTGTTCGTATAAAAATGTGTGGAATTTCTTTTAACTTTTAAGTAATAATTTGACGTGTCTTCTGAAGATGGTAATTTAATTACCGAAAACGGTCAAGACAAAAATTAAATAAACGATATCACTTTGTATATGATCATTTTATTGTCTAAATAATATTTGTAATGTTTATGTGTTTTAAAAAAAAATGTAGCAGTAAATTATGATATAAAAATTAAAACTTTAAAGTGTTATAATTTCGTAAATAATTGAAATAGGACATATGTTCCTTAAAATTTTTTTTTGGTAATTGGATTGGCTACATATGTCAAAATTTGATGGTGAGCTAATAAATCATCCTGTATACTACAACTTGAATTTTGTGTTTTTCAAAATAAATTTTTAATTTTCTTTACAAAATTTGTTTATATACAGGGTCCTGCAACAGTGCGCCAGCCATCCATAGCTCCTATACCAATTAAGTTAGGAATTTATTTCAAACGCAGACTTGTGCTATATACAGGTGTCTCAGCGAGACCGGTCATTAGACGTTTCTGGGGTTCTGGCGAAAATAAAAATTAGAGAATTCAGACTTAAGCATTATCAATTACGATCTCTTCGACTAAAATATTTTTAGATTTCTTGTACTTCCGGTTATACCGGAAGTCGCCACCTACTTTATTTTTTTAAATGGAAGAAATATGTAAAAATATACAGGGTTATTTTTACATATTTGGATTTGTCTGTTTTGAAGGTTTATAAATAACTTCACTTTTTGCAATTTGATTCGGCCGTTCTCGAGTTATTCGATTTTTTCAAGAAAAATCTGCTCCAGCGGACATTTGTTCAAAAAATCATAGAACACTGGTTTTTTGAGATATCAATTTAGGATTTAGAACCTGCTTAAACAACATTATGGAGTATGTTTTGGTGCCGAGAACGGCTGTCTAAATCGTTTGTTCACTTTACTATGACACGTTAACTTTTCGAAATTTCGAAGCACCATAACTTCATTTTTTTAAATAGTAGCCCCCATATTTTATTACTTAGTCGTCTTCGGCGTCTCATTTTACATCTTTTATACTCCATAGGTCCTATGCCTAACATTAATAGTTTGAGAAATAATTAGGGTTTTTTGAAAAATGCTCACATATCATATCGATATTAACCTAGTGTGCCATGGAAAACAAATGTTTAATGACTTATTGACAAACGTCAAAGTCTGATTTACGTTGTTTGATGCTTGTGAGTCTAAAACCAGTTAAAATTGTTATTAATTACGTAAATAATATTTATACAAATGAAGAAATCCATAATTTATTTTTTGTGCACGAAAAGTGCGACAAAGTTCTTAGTAGAACTTGCAGAATGTTTAATGAAAATTATCCACATTTACCTCTGATGACAAAAGGTAAATTTAGAAGAATAGAAGCAAATTTTTGGCATTTTGGACGAATTAATCACGTGTTAAACTGACCAAAAAATGTAGTAGATAATGTAACGGAAGAGGTGAATAGCTTGGCTTATTTCGAGCCCAGTCCCAACATCTCAATTCGAGCTGCCAAAGAAGATCTGGGAATCATACTACGAACTTTGTCGCGCTTTTCATGCATAAAAAATAAGTTAAGAATTTCTTGATTTGTGTAAATATTACTTTTGTTATTGTTATCGATTTTAACTCTTTTCAGTACATATTAAGGGACCTAACAGATAATTATTAGCTCACAAGCATCAAGTGACGTAAACAAATGAGTAAAAGATGTAGAATGAGACACTGAAGACGACAAGTAATAAAATATGGGGGATGCCATTTAAAAAAATTAAGTTATGGTACTTCCAAATTTTCAAAAGTTAACGTGCCATAGTAAAGTGACCAAACGTTCTAGACAGCCGTTCTCGGCACCAAAACATCGAGAATCGAGTGTTCTCTGATTTTTTGAACAAATGTCTGCTGGAGCAGATTTTCTAGAAAAATTCGAATAACTCGAGAACGGCCGAATCAAATTGCAAAAAGTAAAGTTATTCATAAACCTTGACAACAGACAAATCAAAATACAGGGTGCCCATTATGTATGGAATATAGTATATATCTTGGTAGGTATCAACTTTATAAAAAAACATTTCATACAAAACTTGTTTAATATTTTATTTGCCATAATAAGACTGCATTTAATTATTTTTAATTCAGAAAACAAATGAGTAACGAATAATAACTAAATTTTTTTAAATGGCAACGTATTCTTTCTTTAGGCTCATTTGATAGAGATTACAAGATTCGCTTTACGATGGCGTAAAATTTTTGTATCCTTACATAAGAAAATTTTTGAGAAAAATGGAAAAATTGTTTATTAATAAAAATTAATCAATAACATTAATCTAGATATCCGAGATCGTCAAGTACCTCGAATTATTACTGTAAATTAAATTTACATACAAAATAAAACAAATAAACGGAAAATTAGAGTACATCTCCAATAATTCGAGGTACTTGACGATCTCGGATATCTAGATTAATGTTATTAATTAAATTTTCTTCTTTAATATAAGGCTACTAAAATTTTACGTCATCGTAAAGAGAAAAAAATCTCTATCAAATGAGCCTAACAAAAGGGTACATTGCCATTTAAAAAACTTCAAGTGTTATTTGTTGCTCATTTGTTTTCTGAAATAAAAACAATTGAATGCTGTCTTATTATGGCAAATAAAATATTAAACAACTTTTGTATAAAATGTTTTTTTATAAAGTTGATACCTACCAAGATATATTCCATAGATAATGGGCACCCTGTATGTAAAAATATACAGGTGTTCCATTTAAAAAAAATACAATTTGTGTCGTCACACTTTTTTGGACCAACCCGTATATGCGAAAATATTTTACAGAAATACACTCATATACAGGGTGATCCACATAAGAACCGACACAGAGCAGGGACATGTAGAGGACAATACATTAAGATGATTTAACGCAACTTATCTCTATACTAAGTTGTACCCCTGAGGAGCCTTCAAAGTTGGGTTTTAAATTTTTAAAACATTGAATATCTTCGTAATACATTAAGCTAGAAAAACCAAATTTGGTATACGTTATGAGTGTACCGAAGGTATTAATTGGTAGCAAGTTGAGACCAATTGAGGCATTTCAAAGGGTTGATTAAGGGTGATGGTCCCCTTAATTTAGACAGATTTTTTTAACCTTTTGGGGGATTTAATACATTATTACCTCATTTCATGTGGAATTTAATTCTAAACCTCTTTTCTCTTATTATTTTTTAAAAAACATTGTCGTTTTCATAAAAAATTCAAATAACTAAAGACACGTATTTCGTTAATGCTACCTAAAATCATCGAAAATTCAGTAGTCGTCTGTGAAATTGTACGTCAAACTTGACAAATAGGTTATAAAACCTTGTTGTCAAATAACTTTATAACCTATTTGTCAAGTTTGACGTACAATTTCATAGCCGACTACTGAATTTTCGCTTATTTCAAGTAACATTACGAAATAAGTGTCTTTAGTTATTTAAGTTTTTTATGAAAACGACAAAGTTTTTTAAAAAATAATAAGAGTAAGAAAAGTTTTAGAATTAAATTCCACATGAAATGAAGTAGTAATGTATTAAATCCGCCGAAAGGTTAAAAGACTCTGTCAAAATTTAGGGTACCATCACCCTTAATCAACCCTTTGAAATGCCTCAATTGAGTTCAATTTGCTATCAATTAATACCCTTGGTACACTCATAACGTATACCAAATTTGGTTTTTCTAGCTTAATTTATTACAAAGATATTAAACTTTTTAAAAATTTAAGAGCCAACTTTGAAGGCTTATAACTCCTCAGGAGTACAACTTAGTATAGAGGTAAGTTACTTTAAATCATCTTAATTTATTGTCCTCTACATGTCCCTGCTCTGTGTCGGTTCTTATGTGAATCACCCTGTATATAGTACAAGTCTTCGTTTGAAAGAAATTCCTAACTTAATTGGTATAGTAGCTATGGATGCCTGACGCACTGTTGCAGGACCTGTATAACTTAAACACCTCTCAGAAATTTGTATGGGTATATTTGGGTTAATATGTATTATCTATTTAATACGTCAGTATATTTATTTAGCGCTCATAGAGAGAATCCAACTCGGGTTATTCCCCAAGTTGCTCTATTCCATGTTCATAGATAATCTTGGGGTATTCCTTGAGTTGTCTATGTTATGTATAAATCAAGGACGGTTATGTAAAAGCAAGGACGGTAATTCTAGTTTTAATTGTTATTCAGCGCTAAGAACTAGAAACATTCGGATTTAGTCGTCTTAAGAGACGTAAAGCCAAACCCGAATGTTTCTAGTTCTAGATCTAGTGTCAGTTCTAGTTTTAGTTCATATCCAGAGCTAGATTGTTATAATTTTTATTGAACTAAAAGTAGAACTAACACTAGACCTAGAACTGAAAACATTGACGTATAGCTGTACGTTTCTTAAGACAGCTAAAGCCGAATGTTTTTAGTTCTAGGTCTAGGGTTGCTTCTTGCTTTAGTTGTTATTCAGCGTTAGATTGTTGTATATTTTTCATTGAACTAAACTAACACTAGACGTAGAACTAGAAAGTTTATTATGTACTGTTAATACAGAACGAAGAATTTGTGTGCATTAAATTATTCATTCAAACAATTGAATGTGCAAATTAAAAATTTTTCATATAATAGACTTTTGGCATAACGAACACTCCCTTCCCGGTTTTAATCCGTTATATCACGGTTTTATTGTATTCCGAAATATCATTATTGCTTTTAATATTAATATCAATAGTTACTATAAATTGTATATTTTCTAGAAACATTTATTTGTTGTGTGTTAATGTAGGGGAATAATGAAGAAAATGGTCATGATGATGCACCTCTTAATGAAAATGATAACGAAACGAACATTCAAAATTCAAATTTATTGAATAACGTTCAAAATGATTTACTTGGACAAACAATGGAAGAGGAAGTAAGAAATTTACACATCGCCGACCCAGCCAATTTGTCAATAGATGCTGTGGTTGTAAGTAAAATGTATCTTAAACAGTAACTTCAGTTAAATTTAAATTAAAGTAGAGTTTAAGTTAAGTTTCAGTTAACCTTTATCAATTATGAGAAACTGTTTATTTAAGGATTTTATTACAAAACTAAAATCACTTTATTATTATTTTAACAGGACGTCTTTGAGTTACCGCCATACGCAATGAAGTCAAAAAAGATAAATATGAAACGGATAAAAGCGACTATGCTGAAGCTTTTAGGAGAAAGCGGAGTGTTATTAGAGGTAATATTTGATTCATTACTTTAGCGATATATGAAACATTATAGTCTTTTTTTACATAGAAAGTTGCCAGCGATGATTTAGAGCATTTAAAAATTCAACGATTTTCTTCGGTGTACAGCGATTTAACTCGAAATCTTCCCGTGAATATGTCAAAGGAGATGACCCCTGCAATCGCATTTTTCGCTATATTACATTTAACCAATGAAAATGGATTACATTTAAAACCATCTATGGATCTTAAGGACGCTTTCATTTCGAATGAAATACATGTTCAGCCACACACAAGGAAATGAATGTTTAGTTTACATTACACATGTAGAATATAAAGAATGATCTGTCGGTTCACTTCTTGTCAACTGTCGATACATTATAAATACTAAATAGATATAATTGCGAATATTTGATTAAAAAAAGTACCTACCAGCTGATTTTATTGGCGTCCTAATAGCTTCTTATTGATTATTGTTTGCCAACAAATTATTACTGCAGTTAACATACTAGTCACATTTGCTTCCTGTATTAATTAAAAATTCAGAAATTCGGCTATCCGGAAACGAAAAAACGGGTTCTAATAGATTTTTTCACGTAAAATCCAATGGTGCACGTAGAATTTTTCTAGTCATCACGGTTTTTGAGTTATAAAGAGTTAAGTATTTTAGAAGTTGAGTATTCAGTATTTGAGTTGTGTTTATAACTCAAAAACCGTGATGACTAGAAAAATTCTCCGTGCACCATTGGATTACACGTGAAAAAATCTATTAGAACCCGTTATTACTTTTTTTACTAAGTTTCCGGATAGCCGAAATACAGGAGGTGTCTAAAGATCGTAAATTTCAAACACTCCCTGTATATCAAAAACAAAGAGGGCTATGAAAATTTGGTTTGCGCCATTGTAAGTTTCACAAAAAAGTAGCTCAGGTTCGCGAAAGCCGCAACATTCTATCTTTCATAATAACTGAGATACCCTGCAAACCCATGGAAATTTGGACACCTGTACAGTAGACCCTGTATAACACACCCTCATGGTGTTCAAAAATTTCAAAAATCAAATTCAATATTTTCATAACTGATGTCTGATTGTTTGAAGCAATTTCTAATTACTTCTTAACTAACTGTATTCCAAATTTGCGCCACCATTAAAATAGAGTCCAACAAACACAATACAAATTTTTCTGACTATTATCCGACTCTTTAATCAATTCACCCATTATTTGTATGGATAAATATGACGTGAAGACATTTAATAATAAGAGGTAAATTGTCCAGAAAAATCATTCCCTGCAAATATTGTTTTTACCTTTAACATTTATGTTCAATTAAGTGCTAACTGCAGTTATAGTTAATAATGAACGTTAAGATTTTTGCTTATGAACGCGTGGTCTAATTAGAGATAATAGATTATTAATATTTAAAAAAAAATACTGTTCACAGTATATCTCAGTACACGTTAATCCCGAACTGATAACAATTTGCTGCCACAGTGGTGACTGAAAAAAAACACGTAGATTTTGTGCTAGATAACTTACATACTTCCTGGTTCTTCCATAAAATACCTGGTTCAGCTTTGTTCGCTTGGTTATTTTGTCTGTTACTATTACACTACTTATTGTTTTTGAAATTTTTGTTATAATTGTTGTAAATTTTTGTATCTTTTGACGCTTTTATTGACGATACTTACGCAAACCCCTTTGCGACTCGGTTAAATTAAAAAAAAATCTTTAATTATTAGCGAATATTACTTTTTCTATTCCTTATAGCGCACCTTTACCACAGAATAACTGTTATTCTGTGCCTTTCCCATCTGGAAGTGAGTGCATTTATTTTTGTTACACCCTGTACCAGGATTATTAGTAATCTAGATTCCTGTGTTGCGTCTATTTATCAAAATAAGAAGATCTACCTTATTGAACTACAGTTTTATAAAGACGTGTAGTGACACTTTCGTCTACACAAATTGTCATACAGTCAAACACTTCACTGTTATTTGTTATCACTATACAGGTGCCCATTATGTATGGAATATAGTATACCGGGTGTAACAGGATCATGGTACACCCCTCGTATCTCCTGTAGTTTTGAAGATAATTGATTCAAATTTGGGACATCCTATACACATGATAAGAGACACTTTTTGACATACAAGTAATTGTTTTTTCAATTCCGGTTTCACCGGAAGTGATACTAACTTTAGATTTTTAAATGGAACACCCTGTATATTATTACATTTTTGAAATCTTAATAATTTTCTGAATCCAATGGTACCACATAAGTGACATTTCAAACGTCAATATTTTTTAGAATTTAATGTTTAATTTTCCATTTAAGTGTGCCATGAGAGTTCCGTTTTATTCTAATTAACCCGTCTAATGCTAGAAAAATCTAAATTCCGCCAAAAATGCCAAATTACGTGATTTATGTGCAAATAAAGTTCATCAAAATGGTTTTTGGGGTATAACCCAATTTTTTCTAATGGAACCATATTGGTACCGTGGTACCATTTATTAGTACTATTAATAAGAAATTTATTTATACCTAGTATTAGAATATACGATAAATACAACAAAAATTACAGCTAAACAAAATAAGAAAATACAATTTTGATCTAATTAAATGTTAAGACGTTACTAAGGTGGCTTTGGAATTAAAAAAATTAACACAAAACATTACATCAGTTGTTCAAAATGCTGCCCATTAACGTCATTGCCCTTCTGAACTCTCACAGCTGTTTCCCGAAGAACATTTTCCAATTGCTCGGCCGTTATGCTATTAAGTGCTCGTCTTACTCGTAGCTTTAGATCTTCACGGGTTATAACAGCGGTTGCATAAACAATGTTTTTTAAATGGCCCCAAACAAAAAAATCAAGGGGTGTCAAATCAGGTGACTTTGGAGGCCACCTTATTGGATCATTCGTTGTCTCCGTATCTTTGTTGAAGGTCATTAGTTATTGTTCTTGAATTATGGGGAGGAGCTCCATCTTGTTGGAAATACATTTCCTGTTGTAAATGGTGGGGTAACTGGGCTCATCTACTCGCAATTTCATTTTGCAGGAATCCTAAGTATCTGTCTCCAGTCAGGGGTCCTTCAAATATTATTGGACCAATGATTCTACTACCGATTATTCCAAGCCAGACATTGAAACCGAACCGCAATTGAAAGTTGCCCTCCCGCAATAAATTTTGATTTTCTTGTGACCGATATTTTGTATTTTGTCTGTTGAATAATCCCAAATTCATAAATCTGGATTCGTCCGAAAATAAGATCATTCCCAAAAAATCATTGTTTGGCTGCACGTTATTCTGCAAAATCCAATTGCAATATTCCATCCTACGTTCGTAATCATTTTCATACAAGTGCTGGTGCAATTGGTATTTAAAAGATTTATACTTGTATTTGTGCAAAATTCGGCTTACCGTTTGGTGACTGATATCTAATTCAAACCCAATTTGTCTTAAAGAAAGAGTCTTATCAACTTCTATTGGTGCCAAAACATTAATTTCCGTTTCTACGTTAATAATTGAATTATCTCGGGATCATGGTTAGGCTCTCTTCGGAATTGATTTTAAGACAATTAAAATAATTTCTCGCTGGACATTGTCTATCCGGATATCGTTCGGCATGAAGGTTTCTAGCTACAACGGCATTTCTTCTACATTCCCCATAAATAATTAACATGTCCACTTTTTCATCTCTTGTATAAGTTTGCGGCATTTTGAACAAAATTAACAATAAATGTAAACACTTTTTAAAGACACAATAAAAACACCGATAAACAATCTACCTTGTATTTGACATATTAAACAGTTTCATTGTTTCCAAAGCCACCTTAGTAACGCCTTAACATTTAATTAGATCAAAATTGTATTTTCTTATTTTGTTTAGCTGTAATTTTTATTGTATTTATCGTATGTTCTAATACTAGGTATAAATAAATTTCTTATTAATAGTACTAATAAATGGTACCACGGTACCAATATGGTTCCATTAGAAAAAATTGGGTTATACCCCAAAAACCGTTTTAATGAACTTTATTTACACATAAATCACGTAATTTGGTATTTTTGGCGGAATTTAGATTTTTCTAGCATTAGACGGAACTCTCATGGCACACTTAAATGGAAAATTAAACACTAAATTCTAAAAAATATTGACGTTTGAAATGTCACTTATGTGGTACCATTGGATTCAGAAAATTATTCAGATTTCGAAAATGTAATAATATACAGGTGTTCCATTTGAAAATCTAAAGTTAATGTCACTTCCGGCGAAACCGGAATTGAAAAAAAAAATTACTTGTATGTCAAAAAGTGTCTCTTATTATGTGTATAGGATGTCCCAAATTTGAATCAATTATCTTCAAAACTAAAGGACATACGGGGGGTGTACCATGATCCTGTTACACCCGGTATATCTCTATTATAAAAATATTATTATTATTATATATTACTATTATAAAAAAACATTTTATACAAAAGTTGTTTAACATTTTATTTGCCATAAATAAATTCAGAGAACTTCATTAATTAAGAAAATTAAGAAATTCATTAATTCAGAGAACAAATGAGTAACGAATAACACTTGATTGGCAATGTTCCCTTTCGTTAGGCTTATTTGATAGAGATTACTTTTCTGTTTACGATTCTTTTTACGTATTTACTCTTTACGTAAAATTTTTATCCTCCTACATCAGAAAATTTTTGAAAAAAATGTAGAAATTGTTTATTAATAAAAATTACTCAATAACATTAATCTAGCTATACGAGATCGTCAAGTACCTCGAATTATTATCGTAAATTAAATTTATATACAAAATAAAACAAATAAACGAAAAATTACTGTACATCTCCCATAATTCGAGGTACTTGACGATCTTGGATATCGAGATTAATGTTATTAGTTAAATTTTCTGAAATAAAAACAATTGAATGCTGTCTCATTATGGTAAATGAAACATTAAACAACTTTTGTATAAAATATTTTTTTATAAAGTTGATACTTACCAAGATATATACAATATTCCATACATAATGGGCACCTGTGTATTATTTTGGCGAATTTGACAGTTTGATTTAATAGGGTTTAATTTAGACAAAAGTTCTGAAAATTGTAATGTTCATAATTTGCCTACAAATCATTTTGCAAATATCGAACTGATGATGCAACAATATTAAGATCATATTCAAGCCTCATGTAATGATACTTTCTTAATGAAATAGAAGTACTGGTAAGTAATGAGTGTTTAAGAAATGGCATTTTTTCCTTTTCTTAATGTTATGCATGATTTTTTTGTCAATTGCTTTTCAACAGTCATATAGTGTAGCAAAATCAAAAGAAGGAACGATCATAAAATAGAATCTCGACTTCCTATTAGGACAAATATTTCATTGTTCTGTCTAATAATGTTTATAAGGGGTGATACTACGATACTACCCGCATTTGCATTTCTTAGCCTTCTACAGAAGTATTGAATAATTTCTTTACATTACACGGGGGTACAATGAAACACTAATTTCTTTTAACTAGACGACTACTTTCGTTCGCTATCGAGTTGTTATGCCAAATGTTTCTTATTTATTACCATAAAAACGATAAAAAGAAATGGATGGGTTGCGAAATCCATCCTGCTCTTCGTGAGATGGAATCTCAATCAGGAAATTTTGTGGACTTATTAAAATTAAGAGATAAGCAGGTGATCGCGTGTTGCAAGATCACGTTGAATTCTGTTCTTGTGTATATAAAGCAGTTCATGTAAAAAATGAACTAAATATTGAATAATAATGGTAGAAGAATACTGTTTTTTTTTGTCTTGAATGATCTATTGATAACAAATACGTTTTCCTACACAAAGAAATACGTAAGTTCACAAGGGAAGTCAATGCAGAATTGAAAGATTATAATTAATTACGTACTGATAGAAAACAAGCATAAGAAGGATATAAACATACAAGAATGAGGAGAGGATCAAGAATTACAGTGCCCGCTTTGTGGTGTTATGTAATGCCAAAGAAGAGAGAGAATAATGTAAACAACAGAAAGAAATCAGTACCGAGGTCATACCATCAAATTGTATCAACAGAGAACATCGAAAAAGAAATGTATAGGACAATGGAAAGTAACAAAATGCATATGTAAAATGGAAACATAGAGGATAACTGAGAATGTTTAAAAATGTTTGATATTGAGTATGGAAAAGAATGATAACAGAAAGCAGGTGGTATAGTGGACAGAAGAGATAAAAACGCAAGGAACGGTAAAGAAAGAGGATTGGGATAATTATAAATGATAACTGAGAAGATAGAGGAAAGTTGCCAGAAAATCAACTAAACTATTCTATCAAATACTAAAATCTATTGAAAATGAAAGAGAGTGAATAAGGAAAATGAAATTATAGAAAGATGTAGACAGTATTACGGAGAGTTACTGTACAAAGCATATGAAGCAAAGAAACAAACACAATTGATAGAATATGAGCAGGGATAAGACGAATTTTACCGATTTTACGACTTTATTATAAAATAAAGTATCCAAACGTATCTTCAATGCATTTACCTGTTCCTGACTTGCACAGTCACGGGAAAAGACCAATCAGAAGGTGCTTAACATGTAGAAGAGTGCCCTCACGCTGCCTCTCAATCTCCTGACACTTCGCCTCAGCTCTTTAATCAAAAGGAACTGATTTGGTTCGCGATCTAAAACTTTCGAAAGTGCAAGCTGAGCTCTTGGGGTTAAGACTGCAACAACGAAACCTTCTAGCTCCAGGGAGAAAAATTTCTTGTTTTAGATCAAGAGGTACTTCATTTGCCGAATATTTTGACATGATGATGCAACTAGGTGTACAATATAACCCACCGGAGTAGCGACTTTTTATTATTTAGGAAAACGAGCTTGAAAGCAGTACTACCGCATAATGGCAATACATTCCCATCGGTGTATTTGGTTTACACAGTAAATATGAAAGAAACTTATGAAATGTTAGAGGCAATCAAATATATAGATCATGAATGGTAACTTTGCTGTAATTTAAAAGGAGTACAACAAACTCCTTACAGGGGTATAAAGTAGTTTCACGAAATATTGCTGGCTTTTATGCCTATAAGATAGCCGTGACACTAAATAACCACTATACAGGCTATAATATGGTTAGACTTGACAAAATCATTTCGCTTCCGCTTCATATCATGTTGAGCATTATGAACCTTCAATGATTTGAAAGAAAAGTTTCCCAAATAGAGTGAAGCAAAGCTGGAAGAATGTTGAATCCAAGCCTTTGATATCAAACTCATAAATAATATCGTATTAGTGGCATTTGGGCAACAAAAAAGATGATAACCGTGTTTCCATTGTGAATGGTTTGTTGGCCCCTTGGAATTTTCCGCGTAACTACAGTATGTCCGTAAAGTAACGGATATAGGCGATAAAATCATTATAAACGGTTTATGGAAAAATCCCTGAAACGGGTCTAAAGATTTAAATTTTTTATAATGGAATATGAAAGAGGATATTTTTCTGAATCTAGTACAGTCAATATTAATATTGGTTACATGAGAAAATTTTCGAGAAAAATTACTTTAAAGTTTAACTACTTTAAATATGTTGAAATGATAAAAATAGCAGTAGCCATGAGTAACTATGGTAACCAATTATTTTAAATAATTTTCTAAGTGTCAAAAAATGATTTAGTAAGTAGTTGACGTCCTTAATGCAACATTTCTTGATTGAAAACTGCTTAGCTCATTAGTATGGTAAGCCAAGCGGTGATCAAATTTAAAAAGCATGGACATCTTCGAGATTTCTCGAAATCTGGCCGGCCAAATGTTTCAGGGGAGGTTCAACAAAAGGTAGTTTTGGCTGGGCAAGAAAACCCTTATGTTACTGCCAGGGGTATTGGATCGAATTTGGAATTTGAATGTAAATCAACGGTTCATAAAATTTTAAAAACAGCAAAATTTTATTCCTATAAAGTTAACCTCTGTCACGAGCAATGAGCCATAGTTTTTCCAACAACTATTTTGTTACGATGACGAAGATTTTGTCAAAAACATATTATTTCCGACGAGGGAACATTCACATTGAGTGTTCAAAATTGACAAATCTGTTTATACTGACAAAATTGTCGGTATTGGACAATCCACGTTGGATAAAAATGTTGCACACCCAATATCCGCAAAAGAACAATGTGTGGAGCGAAATCGTACGGGATTCTGTCCTGAGTTCTTACTTTTTGAGGAAACCTTAACTAGAGGGAGATGTTTAGATTTTTTCAAAACGATATCATAACATTGTTCCACCTGAATTCCAATAGTAGTCATTCCAACAAGATGCCGCGCCACCACACTTCAACAAGCTTTACTAAATCAGTTTTTGACACTTAGGACATTGTTTGAAATAATTGGTTACCATAGTTACTCATGGCTACTGCTATTTTTATAATGTCAAGCAAATTTGAAGAAGTTGATCTTTAAAGTAATTTTTCTGTACTAGATTCAGAAAACATTCTCTTTAATATTCCGTAATAAAAATGGGGATTGCCATTTGAAAAAAATATTGATGACGTCATAACTTGTTTAAAAATGGCGGAAAAAATTTAAAGTCTACACCAAAAAATTGCAAAAAATTTAAATCTTTAGACCCGTTTGAGGGATTTTTCCATAAACCCTCTACAATGATTTTATCGCCTATATCCGTTTACGGACACACTGTATATGGAATATCGAAAACATAAAATATGTCCTTCATTAAGAACACATTCTACCACCTGTACAAATTTAACTCGCGATTAAAAGAAAGGATCCGAAAATTTTCAAATTGACTATGTTATCGTAGATTTCGAGAATTTCCTGCAATTATGTTTTCTTGTACGTCGTGTCCTTATCGAGTCTTAGAGTGCGTTAAATATCGTCAATTAATTTAGTAATTTTTTTTCAAATTCCAAAGTGTCAAACGTGCTAAAAATAGTGAATGTATTAAGCTACCGCTAAAAACCTTTTAACGAATTTTGGTCCCTATTTCAGCTGGAATAAATTTTCGATTTTCTAAAAATTTCCTGGAATAGTCTTCTTCATTTTATGTCATCAACGCAATAATAAATCGAACATTACTATTAAGGAATTGTGAACCTGAGCAATTGCTGATTCGCGGCTTAGAACAATAAGTCTTTGAAGGATTTACTTTTCTCAACATCGCTGCAATAGAAAAAGAATCATTAGAAAATAAGCCTGATATAGTAGACGCCACGAGAGCTGGCAGTAAATCAATCTTTGACAATGTTTGACATATAACCTCCATTACTAACATAACCTACATTTAAATGTGTGTGGTGAAATAATCTAAGTCGTACGTCCATATCTTGATTCATACCATTTTTAAGCGATCTGTCACTACCAGCTCTCGTGATTTCTACTATATAAACAAAAAGCGATTTTCGATAAAATTAAGGCCTATATTAGAAATTGACACAACCGAAATGCTTTGTTGATTTTATTTACAGATGATGTCTACAGAGATTTTCCTGGTTTCGAATTTTACAAAATTATCTTGTCGATTTGTTAAATTGATCGAAATATGCAGCCGTTGGTTTATTAGTATAAACAACTTTATTCAAGTACTCCTTGTGATTCTTTTGTTCAACTCCCAATAACCGGTTTTCTTCCATAATTTGTTGTTCGCTTTCCCTAAAAATGCATAAAAATATAATTTAGTATTTGAGGTATTTTTACAACAGAAATACTTACCGTTTCTTTCTCTCAATCTCTTTATCCATCATTTGAATAGACTTTTGAACACCGTTATTATAAGCTTGCCATTCCAAATCAAGGCGTTTCTCAAACTCTCTTCTTGCTTTCGCTTCCGCAATTTGATTTAATTGACCGGCTCTTACTTCCGCTCTTTCCGCCTCGTTCATTCCTTTATACATATATCCAATTCGACGGTTTTTGCCTAAATTACTTAAAGCTTGATCTGGATTTTCTGTCATCAGGTCGCTTGTTAACATGTTATACATTTCTGCCGTGCTATCTTCTTTCTCTTTTTGTGCGGCACATCGTTTCTGAAATTCTCTTTCATCGGCCAACGCTTTATTGTATCTACAAGTGGCCACAAGTAATTTTTTCCTACACTCTTTTTCCATTACATCCAATTCGACAGCTCTTTGATCTCTTGCCATTACAGCCGCTTTGTAAGCTTCCTCGGCTGCTTTTCTTTCTTTGTCAGCAGCTTCTCGTTCCAACATTTGTTGATCTAAGTATGCTTTAATCTGCTCTCTTTGAACTTTATATCGAAGATCACTGGCCAAATCTTCACCTTCAAATCTATATAAAAATTGAATTGTTGTATATTTTTATATGGAGACAACTTGTACGTCTAAACTTTACTTTTGTGCTGAAGAAATACCACATCTGGGATCATCATCTCTTAAACGAGCTGGAATTAATTTTTTAAAGTAATTCGGATCGTTTAAATCAAATTCCCGACGATCTTCTGGTTTTTGGTAATTTTTACGAAATTCATTAATTTCTTGTTGAATTCTACGTCGCTCCTTAATTACAAAATTAAAATTATAGTGTGTTGTTAATAATGTAAACAAGTAGGTTAATGTTTACCTCCCGTTCTTTTAGATCTAAAGCTTTAGAGATTTCATCGTATTTGGCTGTTTGAATAGAATAAAACCGTTCCACTTCGCGTTCTTCGGCCTCTCGTTTATGTTTTTCTGCGAGTTGTTTCTCTAGGGCTTCGTAATCGACCTATAAAAATACATTTTCTTTTCGTTGTTAGGGATGTTAAGTTAACAGAACAAAAATGCATAAAAAGTACCCCATAAAGTCGTGTTCTTGGATTGAAGATTCGTTTTTTTCTTTCTTCTTCGATTGCGCGCTTTCTTTCTAGTAAAGCGGCTTCTTTCCGATCTTTGTCGGTCATTAATTGAAAATTTAACATCGTTTTCAGTTAAATACCCTGCTTAATAAGAATAAATAGTATAAAATAGATTGTATACTGACAGCTTTTTTTGTCAACTTTTATGTAGAATTTCAGTAAACACCTTGTTAATTTCTAATTGAAAGTGTTTCTAGGCAACATATGTTAAATCGATAGTTGGAAATCGGGGAAGTTTGCAATTAATAATATATTTCATGTAAAGGTGTCGCGAGATGTTTGGTGTGCCCATATATATAATTACTATATTAAATTGATTATAATCAATAGAAGTTAGTAGGTATTAAATAGATGATGTTTGTGTATACCGAAATAGTATAATAATAGTGTAATTGCAAGGATGTCGTTCTTGGGTAATCGGAAATACAAAGTTTATATTATGTTTTGTTTAAATAGCGTAAAATTATGAATACTTGTTTTTTTTTATTTTCCACGAAATTTCATAATTAATAATAATAATAATAATAAATGCCTTTATTAGAAAATAAGCTTAATTGTATGAAAGAAAATTGGCGAGTTCCAGCTTGTACTAGTAGTACAGCTGCTCTAACTAACCTAAGAAACAAAAAAAGAAAAACATGACTCGGCCAAAAATTACAAAGCAACAGCTAGATACAACAACAAGATTGCAAAACATGTCAGATCAGCGTTTGCCCCCATGTAGACATTGTTCAAGAAAACAAGAATTTTTCTGTGTAAATTTAAACCTTCCTAGTGAGATCCCCTTGCAATTATCGTCCACCTCATTATATTTCGAAGTTATTTGAAATATGTATGACCTCTGAAACAAAGACAAACGATAGAAGGGTGGCGACAGTCTTCCGCGAAATCGCGTATTTATTCGGTGGACATCATTTCGGAAAGTTATCAGTTGGTAGAGATACTGTGGTTCCTTATAGTTTATAATTTTATGGTATAGGCACAAACACTGCACTTTCCTACGATGATACATATTTAGCCATCCCGCATCCTTCAGTTTATAAGATATTCTGTTATATTTTCTGATTCCATATATATACCGAAGACACGAATTTTGCACTCGTTGAATACGTGTTACATCGCTAACGTCAATACACGGATGGTAGACCTCAGCACAATAAGTGAATTGAGCCAAAACAGAGGTTTCGCACAACATCTTTTTCAGATGAATACCAAGGTAGTGTCGATGAGGAAACAACATCCTCAGATGATAATAAGCCCTGGATATACAGTTGGAGACATGCTTCTTATAGCGAAAACTGTTGTCCATAATCATACCCAAATTCTTTACCTCACTAACCAAAGGAATGTTACAACCATCAATTTGCAAATCAATACTTTCTCGAAAACCATTACATATAGCGGAATTTCCAAAAAGTATATCATTGGATTTACTCGGATTAAGATGTAGACCGTATTCCCGAGCCACTTTATAAATGTAATCAAGGTCTTTTTGCATATTCGTAATACTCAACGCGAAGTCGCGTGGATCAAAGGAAACATACATCTGCAAGTCATCCACATACATATGGTAGTCACAATGATTTAACCCCCTAACGATTTGAGATGTATATAAAGAAAATAGAATAGGCCCTAAAATAGTACCTTGTGGTAATACACCCTTGCTCAAACAGCGAAATTCAGACAAAGCATCACCGATTCTAACCGACTGGTGCCTATTACTTAAATAATTTTCAATTAAGTTTAAAGCGAATTCACTGAAGCCAATATACTTTAACAATTCCACAAGCAAGTCATGACAAACACTATCAAAAGCTCTACTAAAATCCAACAAGACAACCAACGTACATAATCCTTTATCTCGAGCTTGTAAAATATCATTAGTTACCTTGAGAAGAGCTGTACCGCAGCTATGGTTTCTACGAAAACCAGATTGATGCTTCGGTAAAATATTATTAAGTTGAACAAATTGATGCAACTGATTAAACATAATTCTTTCCAGAACTTTAGATAAAATTGGCAATATGCTAATCGGCCGCAGATCTTTAGGCTCAGATGGGTCATGTTTTTTTGTGATAGGAACCACAATTGACAACTTCCAACAGTCAGGTACTTCCGAAGTTTCAATGCAAACATTGAGTAAATGTGTCAAGTAGGGTAATATAAATGGAAGACACATATTCAACATACTCATACTGATATTATCAGCACCGGCAGCTCTAGAAGAAATTGAGGAAATAGCTTTTATTACATCAGTTTCGGATACAAAGACAAACTTAAAATTAGTTTGAATCAAATTTAAAGGCGGTAAGTCATTAAAACTGAAACGCGTTGCGAGGTTCAAAGAAGGGACTGAATCAATAAAGAAATCGTTAACCTCATCTGGTCGATTTAAGTGAGCAGGGATTTGCTGTGAACATTTCGTACCACAAATACCCAAATGATTCAATTGTTTCCACAGTTCAGCACCCCGAGACGTCTGATATAAATATTCCAAATACGATTTTCTTTCTCTTCTAATGCAGGTTGTAGTAAAATTCCTCAGCTCCTTATAAGCAACCCAATCAGCACCTGAACGAGTACGCTTGTATTTATTCTTTGCCCTATCACGTTCGTCCATAAGCAATTTAATATTTGGTGTTAACCAAGGTACGATCTTTTTGGTAAAAATTCGTTACTTGATGGATTTGAATAAATTATGAACATAATCTTTTTAATAGTTGTAGATCAGAATAGTTTTAAATTATGTTAGGAAGTGATACAGTACGATTGTCAGATTATAGTCTCCAATTCATTGATAATCACGTACTATACCATAAGTAAAGTGATGTTATTGATCAAAATTTATTATTGCAAACATTACAAGAACCTTTGTAGTTTAGCTTCATCCTTCGACAAACAACAGCTAAAGAAAAAAATGGTAAAAAGAAAATTTCTATATTTACCTAATATTCTAGCGGTAAGTATAGCTGATGAAGACAGCATTTTAGACGAATTTAGATAACTTATTATACCCATTTTGGTTCAAAATTGTTCGGAACTACAGAACTCTTGAAACAAAACTGGCCTATTATACAGTGTGTTAATTAATTATCGTACCCAACGTCATCATTGCAAGTATGCAACCAATATCACAGTATTGGTATTGCAATAAGCAAATCGCTTTAGAGATACGCAAATAAAAAATAATTGGTTGCATACTTGCAATGATGTCGGGTACCATAATTAATTAGCACATTGTATAGGTGTTTCTCTAAGTCGTGGCATTATTTTTAATCACAAATAAATGAGTAAAAGTGATTCTTGAAACATTTTTGGCCTAAACTGTTAGTGATGAATATGATGATGAATTATAAGCGAAGAGAAGAAAACTAGAAGAAACTGAAACAAGATATTCAATTCATATATCATTTTGGAGTATTACCATGAGGTTGTTAATGACAAACCTGAAACAAATAAAGATCTATTAAATGGAAAAAGATCTTTGCGGTTGAATTTGATTATTATTTGCGTAATCATCATCATTTTTACTCTAGTATTTGTGATTAAAATTATGCCACGATTTACAGTAACATACGGTATAAACTTGTTGCTGTAAGAGAAATATTGCTTTTGTACAGAAACAATTTCATACGTAATGTGTCTTTTCCTTTTCAAACATCGATGAGGTACGCTTTTAGTAAAGTTGTTTCTCTTATTGGGAACGAAGGAAAGGATTCCAAAAATGTTACTACTAGAATGGTTGAATTATGTCTGCCTACATTTTTTCTTTGCTACATTGTGAACACCTGCTTGTTGCAAGTAGTATTTTCGGAGTAAATTTTCTCCATGTTCATAATGCTTCACATAAACCCAGTAAACAAATTTGCGTTTCAGAAACATTTCTGATACATATTATTGAAACATGAAACGTTTCTTCGACATATTTCTGAAACATAGATGAAACGTGTCTGAAACTGCTAATGTCCGACCCTTTTTATGTTTTATTGAAACGTTTCTATTGAAACGTTTCTGCAACATACAGCTGACAATTACGGTACACTACTAAAATGTTTCATTAATGGTTTTGAATTATTTCTGTAATGTTTTGTTTACATTTACATTACATTAATAGTATGTATCATAAACATTTAAAAATAATTTCTGAAAGGTTTCGTTGACGTTTCAGGGATGTACATATGTATGTAAAGATATAATTTCGTTGAGGTGTAGCGTCTGCATCCTGGACAAGATGCTCATACATGCTTCCTCAAAAGATATGCATATGCTGAGGAAGCATTTCTGAGCATACCACCCAGGGCGCAGACGGTGGACGCTGCAACAAAATCATACCTTAAGGTAGGAAAAATAATAATAGAAGTACGATATGGTACGATACTTGTTACTTACCGCCTACTGTACCAAATTTCAAAATTATCAGTCAATAATTTCTACTATTCTGTTTTCTCATTGATTAGGACATATAAAGTAAGTATAAGAGTAGGTATGCATTAAATATATTTAGTAAATATGTATACAAAATATATTAAAATGGTAACTAAAATAAAATTCTTATTTGTAAACAAATTAAACATAAACATTCCAATAATTTATGTAGGTCATTTAAATATAAAGTTAAATTTAGATCATATTAGTGGTATTTTTAATTATTTTTACTTCTGTTTATATATGAATAACCGAAAGAATTTTTTTTTCTCAAACGAAACATTGTTTCAATTAAAACACATATATTTGTGATGTTTCGCCAGAGATCCCCAGCTTCTTCAGACTACAAGTAAAGAATACCTATAATATATTTAATAATAATAATTATAATAATATATTTAACATTTTTTTTATTTTACATTAGTTATTGGAGATATCACATGTTGTAAAATTCTTTTTATGGAGAGAAACTATCAGTATTACAAAATAACTTACAAAAACAGTTACATGACAATTTACATGTCAGATAATACAATAAAACAAGTAATGTACCACAAACGATGTACTACAGTCGTGGAATTGTTTATTTTTCTTGATAAAAAGAATTTTACAACATGTGGTCTCACTTATAACAATAAGACTTTTACAAAATAAATAGGTCTTCTTTACTTGTAGTCTGAAGAAGCTGGGGATCTCTTTCATCATCTTTTTATGATTGTTCAAGACTAAGAAATTTAACTAAAATTTAAATAACCTACATAAAACTAAAACATAAAAGTACAAAACTACATAAAATATACATATATGGAGAAATGGCAACAC